TCAACACACGAAAGTTGTAATATCAACTTTGAGACGCAAAATGTTTTATATTCAACTTAGAAAATACAGCCCCGGGGTGTCCGGGTTATTTTAATTTTCTAAATTCTTGGTATGGGAATATCTATTAGCGATATGGGAGCGTCGGACTAAAACAAATAAGGTGTATTTCCAACAAGCATTTTTCGCTATTTTTTGGCAGTGCGGTTACACTCCAACACCACATAAGTCCCAATTTTATTTTAGTTTTTTTTTCTACATTCTTTTTTTTTCTTTTTTGAACAGCTTTTCCTCTTGAACATATATTTTTTTAAAGCCTTGGTTTAGAATTCTTTAAATGATCGAATAACTACAGCAAATTTTCTTTTTTTTTTTTGTATATGTAGTAGTCGCCTTCGTACACTGTGCTGGTGCGCTTCGTCACAACGTGGACCAGCTTTCACAGTGATTGCACAGCAAAAAAAAACTAAAGCCAATAGGAAGAAGAAATAGATACAATACTTATTGAAGGAGTGTATTATTTCCTGTGTAGTTGTTGTCTAAATTGCACCGGAATTAAATGTTCGTTCGAGCTAAGGACACGCAGTGACTTAATTTAATTTATATAGTGAACAGGCGAACGGACATTACTAGATGCTTGAATGGACCTACGATGGTACTTCGTGGTATGGAGATGGTGTGCAAAGTGACACGCAAGCCGCCCATAAAAGTTATTAAAAATGGGTTTTCCGAAATGAGGGTTGTCTGCAGGAAATGGCAGGGGTGGCTGGAAAATTAAGTTAGTAATTGAAGAGGCAAGATGGAGGATATTACAAGAACTTGAGCTCATACCAGTGTGGCTTACTTCGATAGCTGGTAATAATAGACAAATTAAGTCCGAACAGTAGAAGTAAATAGGTTATATTTATACTGTATCACCAAAAGTCACACAACACAATGGAGCGGAGCTAAATTCTCTTTTATTGCAACAAATTACAAAAGCCACAGGTGCCGTAAAATCCTTCAGTGCGTGGTGCTAGAATCAAAGATACATTTCATATTGTTCTATATTTAGCCCTCGGGTCCCTCCAGCAGCCAGTAGGTCTCCATGTCGCCCTTGCCTTTGACCTTGACCGTGCCGCGCGACTCCACTTTATAGCCCACTTGACGCACTTTATCGCCGGTGTACTTCGATAGCTGAATCTTCCAGGGATCACTGCTGCTCTCCATTCGCGAGGCGGTGTTAACGGTGTCCCCAAACAGACAGTATCGAGGAACCTTTTGGCCCACAACTCCGGCCACCACAGGTCCTGAATTGATGCCAACTCGAATGGCCACGTCCCCCATATCGTGAGCTTTGAACTTTTTCATCACCCTCAAGGCCAAGTCGCAGGCGTGCTCGGCGTGCAAAGGATTCACATCAGGAGCCCCCGAAACAGCCATGTAAACCATGCCCACGGTCTCCACTTTGTATACGAATGGGGAGATGATCTCCTCATCCAGAGCCGAAAACACCTTGTTCAAAGTGTTCACCGTCTGCATGGCTCCCTGAATGCTGTTCAATCCTTCATCATAGACGTTCATCACCTCGAGGAAGATGACGGACACCTCCTCGAAACTCTGGCATACCTGCTCCTGGCTGAGGCGCATCCGTTCGGCAATGGGTCGTGGAATCATGGAGTACAGTAGCTCATCCCCCTGCCGTTTCCACGAATCTGCCAGTTCCAGCGACTTTTCCAGCTCATCCGAGCGCTGCTCCTCCTTCTCGAACATGATCTCCAGCTTGGAGCAGTGCTGCCATCCCGCCATCACTAACTCCCGACTTAGTCCGTGTGGATTGAGATCGTTCAGATACAGACCAATTCCGTGCAGCTCATCAAGATTTTCAATTAGAGGACTGCACAGGAAGATAAGTGAATCCACATCTTTGATGTAGAACATCTGACCCTTCAATAGGATGGACCGCAAGCCTTGGGAGGATCGACGTTCCCCGGTGGCGGGGTCGATCTCGTCCTCTCTCGCTGCTTCATCATCATCCACCGGATGGGATTCACTGAACTCCGTGGCCTTGGCCAGCGCCATTGTTTGGGCTTCGTTTAGGTCCATCTCGTCGTAGTTCTCAAAGTCCATATTCAAGACAGCATCGTAGGCAGCGCGGTTGTGGCCCGTGCGAATCAACTCGAACTCAAAGAGCACGGTTCTCATCTGGATCAGAGTATCCCAGTCGATGGTGGTGTCTTTCGGACGCCGGCATTGGAACAGGTCCATTACGTGGGTGCCAATGAAGGCCTTTGGATTGGCCCCGGGATTGTGCATGATCCATGTCTCAACGATCTTCTCACCTGCATGCGTAATCTTCATGTCGTGGTTCAGCACAAATGTGAAGGGAAAAAGATCGAGGAACACATCCAGTTTCACGGTGGGCATTTTGAGCTGCGAGGGATGAGCCTCCGTATTAACGCGTTTAGCCATATACTCCCGGTTATCAAAGTCCAGACGATACTTCACAATCACGGTTAAGGGACCCTCCGTGAGCTTAATGGGTCCGGCAGTGCCTCCACTGATGTCGTTCTGGCTCTCGATCACGTAAGCCTTGATCTCCAGACCGTAAAACTCTCGGGCCACCTCGGTCATCTGTCCAATTAGGTACTTCGACATTCCAGTGCGACTGCTTCTGTACAGGATCACAGCCCCGTTGTCATCCATGTTGGTCAACTGCATGCTGGGCGACTTCATCTTGGGATAGGTGAATCGCATAATCAAGTGAATGTTGTCGATGGACTGCAGGAAGTCGCAGAAGTATCGCCCTGTGGATCGGATCATCTTGTCGTAGCCGAAGTTGCTGAAGAACCGCACAAAACAGCGCCCAAAGAAGTTCATGCAGAAGTCGAAGGACTCGCCCGTGCAGGCGGACAAGGCCTCGGCGATGTCCGGCATCAACTTGTCAGGATAGATTTGGTGCGTCTTGAAGCTGTTGTGCTTGCAGTCGATGATGTGGCACACCTTCCGCCAAATGTCCACGCCGTACTCCTCCTGCACGTAGTGCTGCACACTCTCGTACAGCATTCCATACATGTTGGTGTTTCTGAAAAGATTTAAATGAATGGATTAATTAATATATAAGCAAGATAAATACGGAAGTAAAACACTTTAAAATGTTAAGCAGCGTGGTTGTTATTGGTTTATTATTTTTTTTTTATACTTGTTATACTTGGTATAGATCAGAAATCATCGTACCATTTGCAAGGGTATATATGTTGTAGCATAAAAAATCAATATAAAATGGTTCCTTTTGGGGTAAGCTTTTTAGCTGTTTTTTCTGAGTGTAGCACATATAAAACTTGCTTTTAGAACAATCTTTCTTATTATTTCAAATTATTTTGCCCCACAACACTTTTTCTCAATTTCACTTACTGCGTTCAACAGGTTCTGGTGGCTAAGTTTCACTTCAAAATCTACGTTTGATGTTCATTCGCCGTCTTGTTAGTTTATAAATTTCCTATTCGCGTTGCTTTTATTTCACTTTTAGCTTGCAATACTGTGCGGCTAATTTATTTATAACTCCCTGAAAATATAATCCACTCAATCTGACGGCGCACATATGCTGGCTATTCCCAATAGCTGGCTATATTCCCAAAGCACTAAAGGCACGCACTAGCACTCGGAGAATAGGTTTTCCATTGCTACAACTTTGTTTTTTATTGGATTCAACTTTATTGGCACGAGGAGGACGCTATATGTATATGCTGCAGATGCTGCAATGATGTCCTCAGTTTGGACTTTGTGAATCGCGAATGAGAAGCTTTCTGGCTGGCATCCAGGACGTGAATGAAGCGGCTGTCGTTCGTCGCCGGGACTTTTATAGCACCTCGGCAATCGTATTAGACTCCTCCTACCCATTTGCTAGGCGGAGGGTCTAACTCCCTTTGGCGGTGTTACATTTCATGTCAATGCTCCTTGTTGATGCCAATTGACGCTTACTTTTCGATATAACGTCTGAAAATGAAAGTTTTATTGCTTTTCCACCAATAACTTACACGCACAAACGCAGCCCTCGTAGAATTTGTCACGTAAATCTTTATAAAGGTTCTCGTTTACTTCCTTCAAGTGTACGTTAATATTTCTTGTTATTTTGTTTATCTCCCTTTTTGATGTAGGATTTTCGTACTTGTTATGCTCCACAATTTACATTTACATTTGAGAGGATTTAAAAATTCCCAGGAATAAATCTTGGGACGTACACACATAAAGCTTCCAGCACATACACACAAATGTTGACATTTTAATGGGCATTCCTTGCAGGAGTGATGATAACGGTTAAACAGGACTTGTATTTGCCTAGCGCCCCTTTTTTTGTTACCTCACAGCGGCCATAAACGTGACAAAGTATTTAATTAGCGCCCTTCTCAAGCGGCCCCCTTGTCCGTCTAAATCGAATGGGCCACGTGCTGGAAGGGCGTTGACATCTCACTTGTGGCTTTCGCTCCCAGGAGCAGACAGTAGACGACGGGTCTTCTGGGGAAACCCAAACGCCCATTGGCAAACACGCAATCGAGGAATAAACGTTGTAAGATGAACCAAACGATGAAAATAATGAAACCATTTGATTGATGAGTGGGACACTTTTGCGGCTCGTTATATTGCTAACCAGGCTTTGCAATATTTACTTTCAAAATCCCCAAGCAATTAAGGAATGTTTCAATCGGCGGGCTTCAGTTGTTGCTTTGAGACCGGTTCGGGTTACATAATTCTAGACCACTTGAAGTACTCGAACTTCTTTTTATCCGCACGGTTATCGATGTGACAACGAGACTTCGCCAATTACTTTATAATGTAAAAGATACAAAAACCCTAAGCGCATAAAAAAAAAAATTAAAAATACGTTTTTATATTAGCTTCAAATACGGAAAAGTTTTTCATTTAACAATAAAAAGAAGGTTTCTTTATTAGAAATAAGAGCTGTATGCGCCAAGGCAAAACAAGTTTGACCTTCTAATAAATTGCAAAGAGAACGACAAATTTACTTAGGGGGCAAAAGGTTTTCTACAAAATGTATTGGACTTTTATCAAACGTAAAAGCTTTTGAAAGTTTTTTATCAGCATGAGAGACAATTTTATATATTCTTTAATTTTTTTGGATAAGCTTGACTTAATTAAAGTATTTCCCACGGAAAAGGCTAATAAATCGCCCATTTGCAAAGAAAATTCACAATGTATTTTAAAGTTCATTAGGAATTTGCGAAATCTTAAGTGTTGAACTATTTGCCCAGTCCAACCTTGTTGAACAGTTTGTCCTTAACGATCTGTGCCATCAGGCCGTGTATCAGTTCAATGGTTGAGCGGCTGCAGTCTCGCGTGGCCTTGGACAGCTTATCCTCGGAACGCTTCTCGTTGACATCGGTTCCTGTGAATATTAAAACTGGTATTAAGTGCACAATATTTAAATAGACCCGTTATGTACCGCGACCTAAAAAGTTCTCACTCTGCTCCAGCTTCTCAGAGAGATCCATGATCTGACCGGTGGTGTACTCTGTATTAGTGAGCAGACCCGAGCTGCCCAGTGTGTTTACCCAGTACTTGTTCCACAGAGAGTCAAGCAGCTTGCGGTCCAATGCCGACTTGAAGTAGCTAATTTCCAAGGGATAGTACTGCTTGCAGTGGACACCAAAGTCTTCGATCTTGTTCAGCGGGATGGTCTGATACTCCGAGGGCTCCTCGTTTGGTGGCTTATAACCCTTCGGATAGGTGCGGAATGCACCTAGACAAACCTTACCAGCGGAAACAGTGCGCACAGGATCAACCACAATGGCCACAAATGGCTCTTGGTATGTCTGGTTAAGCATCTGGGTGGACACATCGATGCCGGACAACCAGCAGCCGTAACCTGGATGGCTGTGGTACCAGCCCACGGCGTGTTCCATGCGTCCCACCTCTTTAGCCGCCTCCATGTAAGCGGTCATGTACTCGTACGCTTGGGCCTGGGCATTGACGCGGGTCTCAGTGCCCTCCACTGGCAGTGCAAATGCATCCATGACAATCTGCAAGGGAACGACTCGTGAATTGGGGACCTTCTCAAGCTCCCAAATCTCACCATTGTGTTGTCCTCGACCTTGCCAAGCATTAGGCCCATCACCTCCAGAGTACCGCCAGAGCGAGCGTGCATCACCATCTTTAGGAGCGCCAGAGCCGAGATTTTAATATCCTTAAAGAAGTGGGGATCCTTCTCCCAGGGCTTTGCGTCGATGATCTGACGCTGCTGCTCTGCATCGTAGCGAAAGATCTCGTCACAACTGGGCAACGTCTGGATGTTATTCTCCAGCTCCCAGGTCTTTTGTGCCGCGTCGGAGTCCATTGCGATTGTACTTAAGCGATTATACTATTAGTCTTTTGTTGCAAGTTGTTTTCCGGCTCTATTCTAGGGATGACACTTGGCATAACATCTGTACAATCAATACCATGAAAGTACAATCGACTATTTTTGTAAATCGATTATTCTGTCATGAAATTAGATGGAGACTCGTAAAATCTCGAATATATTAATATAAGCTATTTAATTTATTAATTAAATAAAATATATTTCGAATTATTTATTTTAATAAAAAACCTTTTCTGATTAAATTTTGCTGTTTGCGATACGTAAACTATACTTTTTCTTCTGTTGTGCAGCACTGCCAAAGGGGTTGTGCTTGCTGGGCTGCACTACGTTTCTGTTGAACTAAAATTAAACCCGTATTCTCTAGTGACAAAGTGATAAATTACAATGTCTTTAATACATATTTCTTTTCACTTCTGTAAAGTAACCATCATTAATAAGCTCTTTTTAAATAAGTTTACACTTTTACTTTAAGTAAGTTGTCAGTTCCCGCGCTCCAGATTCAAACGTAACGCATAAGCCGGCGCATTCAAAGCGAGTTGGCATGGCTTGCGCGTCCATTGCAAAAAAAAATTCCTGCACAGAGTTTTCGCTACAATTAACTTTGGGAAGCTCGTAATGTAGGCTGAACAAACAGTGTTTGGTGGTGGTAAAGTGTTAGAGAAATCTTAGAAAAGTTTGTGGGTGCTGTGGTACGTGTATTTGCAGTGTCATATATTTCCAATACCTGCGGCTTGTCAAAGTGTTCGCTTCGGTATTCGTTTTCCCCGCACCCAAGCCGCATTTGCGACGCCGCTTGGAAAATGTCGCTGGATGGCGCCAGGTTGCGCTACGAGGACGAAAATGGTGGAACCGTGGTTCTGGCAGCCAAGGGGCGCACCTTCCAGGTGGGCTCCTACTACAATTGCGACCTCATCCTGGAGGGGCCGGAGGAGGAGCGCCTAATATGCGAGATAAAATGCGACGCCTTCGGCAGGGTGAGTCTGGATGGCAGAAAACCCTCTTTACCGCCCTAACATCCCGCGTTTTCCGCCCTTAGGTCATCATATACAACAAGTCCAGCGGAGACCTCATTCATCTCAACGACGCGGCCATCCATGCTGCAGGCAAACGTCCTTTGCTACACGGTGGCAAGATTACCATTCGAGACAAGGTCTACACCTGGGAGTTCCCCAAGTCCTCCGAGGTACAGGATGCGCCATGCACCCCGGAGCGCATGGTGCCCAACGAACAGGCCTCCAACTCCTGCCCTTCATTGAAGGTACTACTCGCAATCTGCTTCAGCTAGTACAGTCTTCCAAGTCCTGTAATTTGCCCATTTTTATTTGATTTAGCAATCGCATCGTCTACAAGCCGAAAAACGCCTGACAGTTCACAAGTAAGTAAACTACAGCAGGCAGACGCCTGACCGACTACCTGGCCAACCCCTAAAATGTTTTCGGGCAACAACAATAGGAAAAAATCCCTACTGCAAGCATGTGTTGCCTGCCTTTAATAGTCCTCATAAAACCATCTCTTCCCATTCCTTTTTAGTTTTCACTATAGCATTAATTCGGACGACGAAGGAAATACTTCTATAGAGTCTCGTGATCAGAGTGGAACCCACTTGGATGAGGACTGCCTAAATGAATCCATTCCACCCAGTACAGAGAAGACACCTTGCGAGTCCCCCAAAGTAAATCTTCTGGAGGCTACGCAGAATAAGGAGAACACCGCAACGCCACCAAGTAGCCATCAGAAGCTACTTAAGCTATGCGCCATCTCCGACGTGGTGATCACCTCTTTCTCGCCGCGCGAGACCGGCGTTAAGATCGAGAAATCTTTTACATGTGTGCGAAAACCGGGCTACACCACGACGTCTTTGGCTGTTTCCACGCCCAAGAGCGTATACAGCACCCCCAAGGGCAGTGTGCTCTCGGAACTGAACGAAGACAGTTGCAGCCGAGATCTGATGGACTTCAACACGCCATCTACCTCAAAGAAAACCAAGCGGGAGTCGTCCATGTTTCTAATCGACCTGACCACCCCATCAAAGCTACGACAAACACCCAAACAGACGCCTGCATTTAAACACATACCCAAACAGACGCCCATCAGTGTAGACAGCACCGACGAATCATCAGATGCCTCCCCGTTTGTTATTGACATTACTAACTCTGATACACCGCCATCACCAAGTCCATCGCACCGGTATAAAACTCCGCAGCGTCAGGCTGGCATCACAGGTGGCACACCCAAAAGAACGCCCCAGTCCCTGATTAAACGGGCGCTGCTTACCAGCACTAAGAAGCAGATCGCCGCCAACCAGCCAGATAAGACCACCCCCATAGTCACCCCTAAGCGGCCTTCTCTTCTCGAGGCTCGACGCCACTGCCTGACTACGCCTCGGCGTTTGCCATTCCATCCACAGCGGCGCACACCAGTCCAGCGAGAAGGACAGGCGAGAAGTAACCCACCCAAGTCCTCTCCACGCAATCGGATATCCCTAATGGAATCTCCCAGGGAGAACAAGGTCTCACAGCTCAGAAAGACGTTTGCGGCGGCCAAGCGTAGTCCCGGCGTTGACAAAAGCAACAAGCTCGTAGCCAAGGCACGTCGTTCGCTTAACTCGCCGAAAGGCGGTTCCCCTAGGCCTGGATCATCCAAGCCGTCATCGCCATGTTCAAGAAAACCGATCGATGGGTCCCAGATCAACAGCTCCACTCCGGAAAAACCTGATGATTCAAAGGACGAGCTGAGCCGCACGTTCACTATAATGGATGATTCCCAAGGAAAGGATCAGAGTGGGGCAGTGTTGGCAATCGAAGCCGTGACTGCTCTTATAACTGAAGAAGAAGATGATGTAACAGGAGCATTTCAGCTGAGTTCGCTGATTGATAAGGGTTTTCCGTCAGTGAGCTCAAAGGATCCTTTACCTATCCAAGATCCAGTTGAATTAATCGAGCCAGAAAACGACGCGGAAGGCAAGATAAAATCTTCACAGCAATATGTGAGTCCTAAGCCAGATGGGGTCATAATCGAAGAGAATAAACGTGAACTAAAGTCTATTGTCAAAAAAAAGGAATTAGAAAGTGGCACAAAACAAGAGAATTGTAAACAAAAAGATTCTGATCTTCAAGATGAGCAAGAAATCATAACATCGTCCATTCCAGTCGAGAGACAACTTGAGGATGCTGTTATTGAGGATAACATTTGCGAAGAGGTTCATGCGAATATTCCTCAACTAACTCAAAATGGTATGTGATTATGATATGAAATAAATATAAGAAATCTAAAGTCCCAAAACCATAACAGCTGATTCTGAGAAAATAATCGAGGAAAATATTTGCGAAGAGCTGCCATTTGAGAATAGATCGACTGGTATTTCAAATTTAATTGGTAAGCTTTTCAAATTTGTTAGTTCCCAAAATACATTTTCATTTCATTGCGACAGGAGAGACATCTCAAAAAATGGACGAACGTACTCCAAATGCAGATACCCCCATGGTTCGTAGAAGCTTGCGCCGACTTTCTGTTGAACAGAGGGCAGCGGCCACAACGCCACAGAGAAGCACTCGGCGATCCTCGTTGGAATCCCGCAGTAAGGTGTTACCGGAGAAGGACAACAAGCGTTCACGCCGTGCTTCATGTTCAGCGATGAACAGTCAAGACGTGGTAACTCCCCGGCGCAAGCGTCGATTTACGCAAGAAATGGCCACACCAACGCGCCAATCGATGCGTCTTTTGAAAACACCAAAGGGGGCACTTCAGGTGGATGAATCTGTTGGCGACATGGGAGTCATATTGGAAGAAGTTGGTCCCGAAGATGGTAAGCTGACTCGAAATCATTTATGAAGTGGAATGAAATTTTTTATTTTATTTTTTTAATTATATTTGTTACAGATAATAAGTCTGCTGCCGCTGACGACGAAAATTATGGCAACGAACTGCCAGTTGATGATATCGACAAGGTAGACTACCACGGACTAAGAGATTTATTGAAAACACCAAAAAGCTGCAGCACACCTCGCTTTAAAGGGCTGAGAGAAATGATGCAAACGCCGAAAATTCCTGCCTCACCAATTTTAGGAAACATGGCAGAACTATTAGAAACCTCTGTTGGTAGGACACCTTACCACGAGAGGAGGAGCACTGCAGTAGCTCGCATGGAGCAAGGAAAGCCACTAGACAATGTTCTGAAGACGCCCAGCGCCAGGAATATCATGGTGCCAAATGAACCAGCTAGCGCAGTGTTAAAGTCTCGCGAGGATTCCTTGGGGGCAACCACAGAATACGATTTGAACATGACGAACAACACATTGCATTTGGACAAGATTTTCGATGACGTACCCGAAACGACTGGGGCCCATATGGAAGACACGGAAACGGAGATAAATGTGACAGCGATCAGCACAGCGACAGGAGTTGATCCTTTGGGTTCGTCAAATAGGAATGAAACCGTGACATCAGAGGCGCTAATGAGTGTCGGTCAGACAGCCACAACGAGCGCTTCCCTAAAGGATCCTCTGACCAGCACCACTTACAAAGCTACCATGCAAGCCAATCCCAATCTTAGCGCCTTTGCAGAATGTGGCTCCAGGTCTTTTTCGCCCAATCCGAACGAAATGAGTGGAATTCAGTTGTTAGACCAGACGTCGGACTCAATTTTCTCCGAGGCGCTAGTAGTATCGGGCGTGGAGTCGTGCGAAGTCACTGTGGATGAGACGAGGCCTTTAGGCCAGACCAAACCACCTACTGATAACATTGAGGATCGCTCAGATACAGACTCAAATGTTGGCCTTACTGAGCCCCTGGTATTAAGTGATGATGAGGAGCCAAAGGAATCGGAAGCAACTCCCAAAAAAACTGACAGTGTTCAGGAACCCTCTATAGTCTACAAGCTTGAAGAATCTGTCAATCTGGAGGAAAACAAAACTGGCAATGAACACGATGCGGGTACTATTAGTGAAATTTCACTGATTGAAGTGGAAGATACCACAATTGAGGAAGGTACTTGCGACCAATATCTCGAAGGTGACAAACTCCAAGAAAAGAAAACTCTAGATATGGAATCAGCTAATTCTGAGAATACGGAATCACCCCTTGATGAATGTATTGAATCTGCAGTGGTAGAATTGTCGATCCTAGAGTCAGAGGTATTTCCGTTAGAAACAACCGCGGATAGTTCGATCAATTCAACTTATGTTCTTAACAGCAGTCTGGAAAAAACTATACCTGACCATGATCTTAAACAAGATTGCGAGTCCACAAACGATGCCCAAGTAACTGCAATTACTGCTGAAAAATCTACCACTAACTTAGATCTATCAGTTGTCAAAGTATCACCTTCTAATGACTGTGAGGTGAATATTGATGATCCACCAATGGAAATATCGCCTAAAGAACTTGAAGAAGAGAAAAAATCTGGTGTTGAGCACACCGACGATGAGACCTCAAAACCACCTGTTGAGCGCTCTGAAGAACTTTCCGAAGAAAGCAAAACAGATAAGGTTTCGACTGCTGCAGAATCTGATAAACCAGTTACAGAAACTTTGCCCACCCAAAAAGATACCCAAACACCAGCAGAATCTAAGCAAACATTCACTGAATCACATTCCGATGAACTTGTACAAGAAACCAACCCTAATGAGGTTTCCATTGATGGTGAAGTCATTCAACCAGCCATTGATACTTTGCCTTTCGTGGAACAAGAGCAAGAACCTGATGTTTCCACCGATGCAGAATGTAATCAACATTGCATTAAAAGTTCGCTTCTCAACGAACTTTCAGAGAAAAATCAAACTGATGAGGTACACTCTTTAGTTAATACTGAACAAGAAGTTAAACCACATCCCGTCAAAGAGGTTTCAAAAGAAACCAAAAGTGATGCTCCTATCCAAGCTGTCATCGAAACATATCTTATCGAGGAACTTCAAGAAGAAGTTAAACCTGATGAAGCGCCGACTGTAAGTGACAGTCCTATTAAACCATTCATTGAATCGAAAGCTGATAATAATACCATTAAACCAATAATCGAAACTTCACCAGAAAGAGCACCTCCAGAAGAAGAATGTCCTGATGAAGTGCCTTCTGTTAGTGAAAATGATGAAGCTGCCGAAAAATTGTCTGTGGACAACCCTATCGATGAAACGAGTAAACCAACCATCGAAGTGCCTGATTTAAGTGAAACTGATCAACTAATCATTGAAAAATCACCAGCCGAAGAACTGCCTGTGAAAGCGAAACCTGATGAAACTATTCAGCCAATCATCGAAACATCACCCGGCGATGAGGACCAAATAGAAGCAAGTCCTGAAGAGGTTTCATGTGCTAGTGAAATGGATAATGTAGTTGTGGAAACTTATCCTCAAACAGATGAGCTAATTCCTCCGGATGAAATTAGAGTCTGCGGACCGGTAGACATGTGTGATACTAGCATCCGTAAAACCATGGATGAGGTCTCTGATATTGATCGAGTTAAAATTCAGGATCACAGTACTCAAAACTTATCTTTAAATTCATCCTCTGACGTTCCATGCGTAAGTAAAGCGGAAGAATCTTTAAACAATTCCACTGCAGCATTTGAGATCAAACATTCTGAAGATGTAGTGCATGCGAAGACTTCTATAGACGCAGATATTTCCGAGAAAATTAAAGAAAGGGAAAAAGTGGCAACAGTGCCTAATGACGTCGGTTATGCTAATCAATCTGCTATAGAGTGCGAACTTGCTAATGTAATCTCATCGGACGGCGATGCTAGCAAAGCTTTTTCAATAGATACAGACGAATTAGAACTATCAACCAATTCATCTAAAATTCCGCAAAGCTGCACACAGGATTCTCCCAAGACTTCTCTCTGTGTGACGTCAACATCACAGGATGAAAGCGCTCAAAATGATGAACTGGATGAAAACGATCACGTTGAAGAACACGTCGCATTGGAGGTATCATCAAATGAAAATATGGCTACTGACAAAGAGAGCGCTGAGAAATTAAAAAAAAACATACCTGACGATGTCTTGAGCGTAGTTGAACAAACTTCATCTCCAACAGATCAGAATAAAGAGGTTTCTCTTGTGGTGGAACCCGAAGCTGTTGTTGCAGAGGAATCCGAAGCTGTTGTTGCAGAGGAATCTGAAGTTGTTGTTGCAGGGGAATCTGAAGCTGTTGTTGCAGAGGAATCTAAGGAATGCCAAGTTAATAGGGCTTCTAAAACAGAGGTGATTCATTTAGATGCCTCCACCATTGTTGAGCTAGATACACTAGATGAAATTACATCAGTTGGAGAGGATTTAGATCAATCCACAGAAATTTCTATGACTGTAGAATTATCTGATGTCGACAAAATAAAAGAAGTTGACACGATGGACAAAGACGCTTCCACTGAATGTACTTCTAAAAAGCATTCTAATCAAGAGGGCAATGATGATGAAGTTATTATATTGGATACCTCAAGCTTAGATGAAACACAGACAGATATGGAGATTGACAGAAAGGAAGCAGAGAAATGTAATCAAAACCAATCTGACGGAGAGGTGATTTCGTTAGATACGTCAAGCATTGTTGAGCAATGTCCACCTAATGCAGATTCGTTAATTCAAGATCCAATCGATGATACTATTCCAGAGGGTATCTTAATACAAGCCAATGATGCAAAAGAATGTGTGTCTGAAGAGTCATCTAACCTAAACGGAGTCGAAAATAAGGTTATTCAGTTGGATTCCTCGAGTATAGTTCAACAGTCTGTATGCGATGCAAGTTCTCTTGGTGAGGATTCTGTCACTGAACCAGCAAATAATATTTCTATTACAGCTGAAACGTCCGCCGAAAAAGAAATCTGCCCTAAGATTTTAAGTTTAAATACTGCACCATCTTCACCACACCATTTGGAGTCACAAAAAAGTGAGCTACAAATAAATCAGATGGAACACCCCCCAGGGGATACCACATCTGCATCAGCAATAAGACAAAAACCAAGCCCCAATGGCGAACTTCTTAATGTTGCTATTTCAAAAATGGAAGACAAGCCTAAGGACGTGTCTTATGCAATGGCAGATGCAAAAGAAGCTCCAACTGAAGGAGAGGATGCTGTAATGCAAGAAAGTGGCATTTTGATAACGTCATCACAGACGGATGAATTAGACCTGCATAAATCGCTTTCTCAAACCGAGAACGTATTGAGCGAGGATGTTCAAAGTGCTGAAGATGGCGACGAAGTAGAAGAGGTTGAAATTGTTGTTCGCGCTGCAGAACAGCAGGCACAGCCTGGTGACCCAGCTAATTCAAGCTCTATAGGCCAGGGACTAGAATCAAGGGCTGTCGAAGCCACTTTCGTTATACCTCACGAAGATCCCGCTGCCGTTGAGCAAATAGAATCTATTACTTCTTCTGCTGCACTTTTAGCAACGGAGCCACAAGTTGTGGTCACTATTGAAGAATTTGCCGCCGTCAAAAAAACAAGTGATGGTGAAGACGCTACGAATAATTTGCAAGAAGGCAATATACCCATCGAACCAGATACTATTCAAGAACAAGAAGTCGGAACTCATACCGCACCAGTATTTGAAGATATATCTGCCCTAGCAAAAACAGAGTCCACTTCTGCAGGGGGCTCTGATCAGGAAGTGTTAGCCTTTAAAGATGATTCTGGGCTCATGCAGCCCAATGCTGAGGATAAACCATCTGCGGAGCCTATCCACAGTACTTCAACAGATTCGAAAAGTAAAGAGCGACCCGATGTTATAGATAATGAAGTAGAGATCCCTACTTCCGAACCAACAATATCCCCCGAGCAAGCGGAGATGTCCCTAAAGCCTTCAAATCAGGAAGAAAATTCACCGCATGAAGAAGAATCTAAGCCTGAAAGGAGAGTGACTAGGAAGGGATCGGCTTCCGCTGATAGAGCTCCTGACCTCGAGCGTCCGAAGAGAGTGGCGAGAAAACCGTCTGCTGAAGCTTTGGAAATAGAAGACCGTCCAAGGGATGCTAAGGAAGATGGTGATCTCAGCATTAAATCTAGGGGTCGAGCTAGAAAACCGTCATCGGATGTAAATGAGGACAAAACGGAAGGTATTATAGAGAAAAGAAGAGGACGAATACGTACTCCATCAGTAGAAGTTCCTGAAGCTACAGCAAATGTCGAACCGAAAGAAAACGAAGACGACCTTAAATCTGAAGAAGCCCTTCAACCTATCCTAGAAGAAGAACCAGAGCCAGAAGTTGAGGAAAGGATCGAGTCAAATAAAGAACTCGAGATCATTATAGACAAACCCAAAAAACGATTACGGAAGGCATCTTCGAAGGAATCGGATACTCTATTGGATAATATAGAAGAGGTTAATTCGGATCTGGATGTTGTTAACGAAGCTGGAAGAACTCGTTCGAATAATACCGAGCAAGGAGATGGTAAAAAGCATTTTGTTTTGACAGCTAAGTCAGAGGTGGAAGCCGATTTAGAAGGTGAGAGGGATGGGCAGGATACCAACCAGAAACATACCACTAAGGAGCGACCCAAAAGACACAGGAGAAATGCATCTGCTAATGAAACGGACACCGCATCCGAGAGAACAGAAAATGCTGAAGATCATTTGGAGGCCATTAATGAAGATGGAATCAAGATCAATACAGAGCTGGAGCCTCAAGTGTCTATGACAGTTTTGTCAAATACAAGCAATGAAGGAGAGAAACTAAAAACAGAAGTTATAGAAGATGAAGAGCTAAAGCCAAAACGCCGAGTGCGGAAGGCATCTGCAAAAGAAACGAACACGAAGACGACACGACAAAAGACTGAAGATATTTTAGCAGCAGTAATAGAAGTGGAATCTTCACTGTCCAGTAAAAACAATTCGAGTCTCTCGGAACCAAAGGGGCAACAAGTGCCTGCACCAGAGCCAGATCCAGATAATGTGCCAAATGTCTCATCGGAAAACAAGGTGCGTCAGGAATCAACGGAGGACATAAGCAACGTTCCAGACAAACGGCATAAACTTGAAAGCCTGCATTCTATTGAAAAGCAGGACGATGTGTCTAAGGAAACAGCTAAAACTCGCCCGGAGAGACCAAAGCGAAGAGCTCGTAAGCCTTCAGACGATATAGTAGAATCCAGCGCACCAAATGATGCACACAATCCCGAAATGGAGAAGGCTTTGGCTTACGTCCAAGAGGATCACACAAATCTAGCTGATCAAGATATACCGAAAAAACGAGCGCGAAAGTCAGCTGAACTTAAGCTTGCAAATGTAGAGGAGCATGCCAAGGAACATCACGTAGAAAGACCAAAGCGTAAGGTACGCAAGCCTTCTGTAGACATTGATCATGTCACCCAAGATGTTTTGGAAAAACCGAAACGGAGGGGTAAAACGCCAGCAGAGCATGAAACTCACCCTCTGGGCGATAAAAAGCAGGAGCCATCTGTGCCAGTTGTCGAGCCTGCGAAAAAAACCAGGCGCAATGCACGCAAAGCTTCTGCCGAAACTGTTGAAGCTCTTGCAAATAGCGGGGAAGATCATCTTAAGCAAATCGACAAGGCAACCGAACCAGTCACAGAATCAGAACCGGCATCATCTGAACCAATTCCAAAGGAGGGCGAGGAGCCCAAGACCAGGCGTCGCGGTCGTAAGCCAACTGTGGAGACGGATGAGGGGCCGATCAAAACCACACCAACAGAGGAACCAGTTGCGCTTCCTCCTCATTCACGCAGACGTGGACGGAAAGCCACCGAGGATGAAGCCTTAACAACTGCAGATCTGACTGAGCCGAAAACAAAGCTTCGTGTACGCAGGGTGTCCTTGGAGCCAGAGCATAAGGAAGAGACCCCAGCAGGGTCCCACCAGAGTTCCGAGGTCGTGGAACTGCCAGCGGCCAAGACAACGCGCCGCGGAAGAAAGCCAAGTGCTGATATAGAAGCGACCTCACCGGAGAAGAAACCAGCATCTCGACGAGTCCTCAAGGCATCAGCAAGTGTCGATGAGGAACCGCAAGCGGCCAATAAAACGGCAATTCGTCGCGCTCGTAAAAACGAGGCTCATGAGGACGAGGAAGTAAAACAGATCGACATGCAGAACTTGCCTACCGAAATAGTTTTGGCGACCGTGGTCACATCGGGTTGCCCATTGAAGGCTGCCGATGAAGAAGAGCTTACTCCACGCCGCCGAGAGGGCCGTAACCTGCCACGTAAAAACTACGAGGAGGCACCAGACGATGATAAGCCGCACTCAGGATTGCGGCGGGCACGCAAGCCAGCGGCAAGCAAGGCCCTGGCCAACAAGGCGTCAGAGCCAGATTCAGTTACAGCTACGCCCGTAACCAAACAAGCATCCGTGAAAGCAGAAGCTACACCCGACAACACAGTTTCTCTTCCGGAGCCCACTACCTCGCAGCGACGCGAAGGACGAAACCTGCCGCGCAAGAACTACACGGAGGCGCCGGACGACGACAAGCCTACACCGGCTCGTAGTCGCCGTGTACGTAACCTGACTGCAAAGGCCCTGGAATTAATTGTGGACTCTTCGCCGCGTCCGGCGACTCCGAAAAGGCCGAAGGGCAAGCCAGTCGACGGTGAGGAGCCACCCGCAAAAAAGGCCACCCCAGAGATTCCATCGACAACAGAAACGCCCGGAACGGAGGAGGAGCCGTTGCCAGCAACTAAAGGGCGCGGTACTCGTCGAAAAGCCGACCACAGCGATTTGGAGGAGCCGGATGTCAAAACGGCCAAAAAGAACGTACGCGGCGCGGGACGTAAAACCAAAGTCGAGACGGAAACGGAGGAGCAACCACCCATCAAGAAGCCGCGGGGCGGATCACGTGCCAAAACACCTTCGGAGGAGGCTGTCGTTATTCAGGAGCAGGAACCGGTGAAGAAGCTTGCCGCTCGCAGTCGGGCTAAAGGTGCCAAGGCAGTAGAGCCGGAGCAGGCCGCCGAGGATTCCCAAGTCGAGGTCACCTCAGTCAAGTCGGCGGCGCCAGCTCGGGGTGGACGAGGCCGTAAGGTGCACTTCGAGGCGGCGCCGGAGACTGCTGCTAGTGAGAGTGCGCCATCATCACAGCGCGCAACTCGATCACGACGAAAGTAAAATCACATCTATTTATTTATAAGCTTGAAACTACTCTGTATAATTTTTTTAGTTATTTTTTAATCTGAACTACTTCAATTTACGTTAACTTGTGTAAAAAAAATGTTCATTTATGTATCAATTAATGAAGGCATGTTAATTTTTAATTTCTCTTGTTAATCCCCTATTTCGGTGGGATATCGTTGGGATGGCTCCGCTCGCTCAGAAACAAAAACTAACCTTAATAGATTTAAGGCATTAACAAATATTAATACATATATATATATATAGTTTATATCTTAAGACATTATCAAAACTCCCCAAAAATAATAAAGATTCGTAAACCAATTGGATGAAAAAAACATATTATTGAAGAGGCTGGTGTATGAATTTAAATCAATCGTTGCAATCATCTTTATTTTCTTTTATAATCACAATAAAATGTAGTTTTTATTAATTCTGGTTTTTGGTATAGACATATACATATAATGCTGGTAAGCATTTTATAGCCTTATGATTGATTACACTTGGGATTCGGGTAACAAGGGGAATTGAGGAAAGCTTGTTGTATGTATATATAGCATCCAAAAATCATACGCCATATAAGGCATATGATTGTTTTGAGTACATAGTAGAAATATTGTACATCATACAAAGTTTGAGAACATTTTCGTATAAAGTAAATTACAGTACTCGTCAAACAAAATAACAACATAAATAAATCAGGACGTAAATAAAACAAGATAGTTTCTCGGCTATCAGATACCCGTTACTCAGCTAGTGAGAGTTTCAATTTTGTACCTTTCTTAGATCCTGGGATCTCTACGTTCATACGGACGGACAGACGAACGTGGCCAGATGGACTCGGCTATTGATTCTGATCAAGAACATATACTCTACGAGTAACGGGTATTATGAATAAAAGCTTTAGCTAAAAAGAGGTAAAGCATATAAATTAACAAATTAAAACTTCCATCTCACTGGTACCGCTAAGCTTGGGATAATACTTTCTAAAGCTTCTACAAAAACACTTAAGTTTTTCTTAAGGGCTAAGCTCTGCCAGCTAAATGCAAACAGTGTGTGTATGTCTGTGCGTCGATCTAAGTCGTTATCGTTCGTTCAAATCCTCAGGGATCCTTAGGCTTTCATAAGGACGTGCGGCTCTGACCGCAACGAGTCTGTTAGGTACTGGATCTTCATGGTCTTTTGGAAGTATCTTTTCTCGTTGGGTGAGTTAACCATATAGACTATTGGACGGACGCCCACGTTGCGCCACAGATCGGCAATGTGGCTGAAAAACGAACATGAAACCAAATGTAGAATTAATATCAACCTCCTGTACAACACTAATTATTACAATAATAATATCTTACAAGTTAATCTCATCTTTGCAGAGAAAAACTACGCTTATTCCAATCACGGGGGCAATTATGTTGCGAAAAATAGCGCCATAGATTGAGGTAATAAGTGTAGAGGATTTGAGGATGGCCAGTGACAAGTAGGTCTCGTGCCAAAGGCCGCAAATTATTTCTGGCTTTAGTTTTCGGAGCTAAAAGAAACGCGTGAGTGAAAAATAAAGCATATAATACTAATCAATTTTTTTTTCACCTGATAAATGGCTAGTGGTGATCGACTGATGACAATTGTGCGCTGGGCAAACGACTCGTCGGCAGTCATGAACTTCTGCAGTTGGTCTATCATCCTAGCGCTGTTGTCGTGCAGACGCAAAAACACTGTTGTCTCAGCAGCCTCCGCCTCCAAGAAATCGGATAATTGCCTGAGGGGAGCCACCGTTTCCGCTTCGTATTGTGACCTGTGTGCGATGATTTATAATGATTTAAAGGCATTTCCAGTTGATTGAGGGACTTACCCCATTGGGTGTTGCTCCGTGATGTTTAGCTTTTGCAACTCCCCCAGTGGCTGTGCAACATTTATTTTCGTAGGGTTAGCCACGACTATTTCACCGCAGGACGTGAGGCCGGCATCCAGAAGCACGTTCCGATATCCACGTGCAAGGCACTGTTTTTAAGGGGGTGGAAAAGGGGATGTTATTGATTTTCGTTCTGCCAACCACCCGGCTCGTGACGTCACCCACCTTCTTAATGGCTGCCTTGGAGTTTTCGGGCGCATCAAAGCCGGCCGCCCGGTTGGCGATTGGCCAGTAACTGGGCCATTCCTCTGGAGAACTAAGAAGGCTTAGTAGTCGCTTCTCGTTGGGACTTCGTTGCAGCTTGACGAACTTGGAGGCGATGCAGACAACGAGCAAGGTGAGCGTGCACCAAGGGATAGCCAGGTTGCAAAATAGCCAGAATACGTTGAAGCAGAAGAAGATCAGGCTCACGGAGCAGCACAACAGCTGGTAAATCATTTTGAGGGCCAGCCACAACAAGCGCCAATAGGACATTCAGCACAGAACTATGTGGATGTGCATGTGGATGTGGATGGATATATATGGACATAAAGGTTGCTGATCTGAGGTGTCTTGTGTCTCTGTGTCCATTCAGATGCACTTACCCTAAATAGAATGCGTGCAGCCACCACCACCCGCTGGTGCACCACTTGCCACTCCCTCCTCGGATACTTTCGATTATGTGCTGTTTCTTCGAGTGGGCAGAAATTTTCTATTCCGTGCAGGCGGCTTGAGTTTTCTTATGACAAAGGGACACTTTTTGAACAGATACTTTCAATAATAGCCGTCGAAAAAACAAATCAAATTTCGCACAATATACGCTCCGTACATTTTCTCAGCCAGTTTTCTATCGCTGCTTGGGCTTATCAATTATCGTTATCGTCTTTCAGCCCCGATCAGCTGTTCGGGTATCGTTGAGGTACGGTCGTAAGGGCGCGTTTTTTTGAAATTCATGAGTCATAATGAAATAATAATACAAACACAAAGAACTTATATATTAGCGCAGTATTATATATATTATAGATTTAATGGCAGTTATAATCCCTAGCAGAAGTCAAAGGAAATAAAATACAATTCCCAAAATACTTCAACCAATTTATGCAGAAATCTTTTAATGTTTAAGTTCCATTTAATCAGCGAACAATCTACAACTTTGTGAGGAGCCGTATCCAGCGTCGGATAGTGGGATGGGCCAGGCGGGTATAGACCCCCGGATAGTACGGATCCGCGCAGCCAACTCCCCAGGATACGATTCCGATGAGGGTTCCCTGTGCGCTGATCGGGCCTCCGCTGTCGCCTGAAAAACACAACGTTCATGTGTCATTATCAAGCTGTCGATTATACTTAATTGTAGTTATCTGGGCTCACCTTGGCATGCGTCTGTGTTTCTGGCGGCCGCGCAGAACATTCTGAAAGATAATGTTAATTGGGAATTAATTGGCTTTGCCTTACCAATAAACACTCGAGAGCATTACATGGAAATCTATCTTCAGGACCAACTCCCTATCGAAAATTACTAAATGGTGATGTGCGCCAGTTATTTTCCATTTGCTCAAGCTAGAAGCTTTGGTAATTATTGTGGCTTGTGCCTTCTAGAAGAGGCAGTATTTTTTTTGTGTAAGTAAGATACATTCTTAATTTGCTCAATCTACAGGCATACGTTGGAAATAGCCTCTTGGCAAAAAAAAAAAAAAACTTCTACAAGGAATATGATGCGAATATGATATGAACGATATCCCATAAGTGTATGTTCCAAGGATGACCTGAAGTGGCCTAGGTTGCCTTGCTCTGCTTACGCTTCGGTGACGCCTCCGTGATGGCGCAGATCGTTGTGGCACTTCTCTTGGTTGACTGTCAGCACCGTAGTGCTCTTGAGTACCGGCGACAGGACGGGATTGGAGGTGCTCATGTGTCCCCAGCCGGAGACAACGGCGGGCATGCTTTCCGAGATAGCCTCGCCCACGGTGGGCAACTGAATGGGCGCCACTTTGCCCAGCGGCAAGCTGAGCGCACCGTCCGCCGTTCGCAGAAGGGCCACGTCGTAGTTCATGTCCGCCCGATCGTAGGCCGGATGCTTGTAGATGGACTTCACCGGCTGAACAGTGCCGCCCGAGGTACGCTTGACGCTGCCCTGGCGGAGGGTGAATTCCCGCGGCTGCTGCTCATGGCCGTCGATGCAATGGGCGGCCGTAATGGCCCAGTTGCTGGAGAGGATCGAGGCGCCGCAGATGTGGACCGTTTGGCGGCGTAGCGAGAGTTGGTACGGAAATTGGCCCTCGGCGGCCTCGCGCCCGTTCACAATCCGACTGTCCGGCTGCCGGGGGGCGGCAGCCTCTACGCGAGATGCTTCCAGGATCACAAGGATCCCAGCTATGAGATGAAACGGAATCGGAGCTCGGCACTTTTGCATGACGCTGCGAACGAGTGAAAACTAACCAACATTGGGAATCCGTAAGTCGATATATTCGATGGCGCTTTATCAATCACGGCTGTTATCTTGTGGGGTACACGATTTCTGTAGAAGCTGCTCCATTGCCCGTAATTAGCCATTGTAGGTTGGGTTTTTTCTTTGCCTATCTTTCAGATTTTTTGATTTTATTATTAAATAAGTTAATTTTTATTTTCCTAAAAGTGCAATCCTCGTGAGAAGATCAGAAGGAAATATATGAGATTTAGAATATGCAAGTATAAATAAATGTAAGATTGATATTTACAAGGTCTTTCGTATAGTCAGTCCCATTTATTAAAGGATTCGTTGAATTTCTGGGGTATTGAAAACATACATATATATAATTAAAAAATTTAAGGGTCTATAAATCGTTAAAATTAGAACTAATTTTTCTAAGGAAACACTAAAATGCCTTAATGTTGTTGTATGCTAGTTTTGAAAAATATTTACTTTTATTTATTTTATTTTTATTTTATATTTATTTTTTTAAATTACTTGAAATATTTTTATTGTGTTCTGGACTAAAAATGTTTGAAAAAAATACTGAACCTCTTGACCAACATCGATAGTCCTAAAATGGTATCGATGTCTTAGTACAAGGTCACACAGTGGAATACTTGTCAAACTGAGCTGCGGTCACACTTAGTCTGCAATTTTCAAGAATTACACACGCGCGGAAGTTTTTCTGCTCTTACTAAAAAACATCAAATTGCAACGCAAAGAGGAGCTTAAAATCGGAAATTAACCGCTACGTAGGCTTAATAGTAAAATAAAGAGTTTACATCGTATATGATTCGCATTTATCGGCACAACTGGTGCGCGTACGACAACATTAGCAGGCCGAGTGCAGCAGTGCGATTGCAACGAAGCAAAGGGAAAAAGCAAAGAAGTTATTAAAAACTTCGGAGTGGTGCTCTGAAAGCGGTTTAGAAACCCAAATCAGCAATAAACTTCCGTATAGTCATGGAAGACTGGAAGGGCTAACAAAAAAACTATACGTGAAGGGAGTTTTCGGCCCCGCGTAAGAGCAGCAACAACAACAGACACTGGAAGAACAAGACTGCGACGGCCACTCCTTTTGTGTCCGACTTCGAGATGTGTGCGTGTTCGTGTCCGCGTCCGCCTTTGTGTGTTGAGCAATTGAAAACTGGTGATTGCTGAATAAATTAAGGTAGCTAAATTAATAATTAGCAAAGCGAGTGGGGCCAATAAAAAGTGAAAATCTTCTGCGTTTTCGTAAAGCGAAAGAAACTACAGCTACAGTTAGAGATAAGAAGAGCTCTCGCACACATACACCAAAGCGCAGGCCGAACGAGCGAGTGTGCGTGCTTGTGCATGTGTTTATGACTCACGGCTGGTTCAGTGAGAGAGAGAAAGAGAGCGAGAGTGGTGGCTTGAGTAACAGTAACATTAACAATACCGAACGCAAAACAACAACAAATCCGCCGAGCGTTTAGAATTTCCCAAGTCGAGCGTAACTAAACGCATTTAAAGAAAATCCCCCCGCACACACACACTCTCATACATAAAAAGAGAGAAAGCCGCTAGAAAATGAGCTTCACCAAGTGGTTCAAGAAGAAGGGCGGAGATGGGGGATCGATCTCCGAGATCGGTGCACCCACAAACTTCCAACGACACTTCCATGTCTCGCGCAACCAGGAAACTGGCGACCTGGAGGGGCTTCCAGCGCCATGGGTGCGCCTGATGAACTCACAGATCACTCGCGATGAACAGGACAAGAATCCAGATGCCGCATACCATGCCGTTAAGTACTACAACTATTCGATCAAGAAAAAGGAGAACGAGGTCTTCAAGCCCTTCATCACCGAGGATGTGATCCACGAGGAGTCCAAGGAGATAGAGAACTATGTCAACTACAAAAACAAGCACAAGTCCCAGGATCCCGAAAAATCCGACGACGATGGCAGTTCAACGGCCACGGAGACGGAAAGCAGCAGTGGTTGTGGCTCCTCGGCAGGTAATAGCAACAGCAGCAGCATCAACGACAGCAGCCAGCAGTCGACGGTGCCGCTGGACGCCCTGGAGGAGGTGTTCAAGGAGCTCAAGTCCAATCTGGAGCACCGTGAAACCCTGAAGGCCGTGCCACAAGAGCCCCCGCCAGTACCGCCAAAAAAGTCGCCCCACACCATACCGCCCAAGCCGCAAATCAAGCCAAAGCCTCGTGTCACACAGAAGTTCTCACGCACTTCGGATATACGTCGGGATGAGGACTCCGACAACCAGCACAAGGTCAACACGGACACCATCATCATCAAGCCAGCCGGCGGGGCACAGGATGCTGGAGCGGATGATAATCCCGACGAGACGATACTGCGCCGTTCCAAGGAGAAGAGAACACAAAAGACCGACGCCGAGGTCTACGATGAGCTGCGGATCATTTGCAATCCAGAAGACCCGAGGAAACGCTACAAGACTACCCAGGAGGTTGGCAAAGGAGCTTCCGGCATTGTTTTCATAGCTGGCGATCTGCAGAACGAATCGCAGGTGGCCGTCAAGACCATCGACATGAAGAACCAGTCCTCAAAGGATCTCATACTCACAGAAATCCGGGTGCTGAAGGACTTTAACCACAAGAATCTGGTGAACTTCCTGGATGCCTACCTGCTGGAGCCCGAAGACCAACTATGGGTTGTCATGGAGTACATGGATGGCGGCCCGCTGACTGACGTTGTTACTGAGACTGTGATGAAGGAACGCCAGATCGCCTGCGTCTGCCGCGAGACGCTCTACGCGATAAGTTTTCTGCACGCCAAGGGCATTATCCATCGGGACATCAAGTCAGACAACGTGCTGCTGGGCATGGATGGCAGCGTTAAGGTGACGGACTTTGGGTTCTGCGCCAACATCGAGGGCGATGAGAAACGCCAGACAATGGTGGGCACGCCGTACTGGATGGCGCCCGAAGTGGTCACGCGCAAGAAGTACGGTAAGAAGGTGGACATCTGGTCTATCGGCATCATGGCCATCGAAATGATTGAGGGCCAGCCACCATATCTATACGAGACTCCGCTCCGCGCCCTCTACCTGATCGCCGCCAACGGTCGGCCAGACATTAAGAGCTGGGACAAGCTCAGTCCGAATCTTCAAGACTTCCTCGACCGCTGCCTCCAGGTGGAGGTGGACCGAAGGGCCACCGCCGACGAGTTGCTCAGCCATCCGTTCCTCAACGACTGCAGCGAGGTCAAGGCTCTCGTGCCCAACATCAAGGCGGCCAAGAAGGTGCTCCGACGCAACGTATAGTTGCTATGCAATCACCGGACGGCCAGGCTGCTCTACGCGTGATCGGAAGCGGAATCGGGATCGGGTTCGGGATCTGCCCCGTGTGTATAATGAGTTTTCAATGTAAATTTGTTTTGTGTGGACGAAACCGGAACTGGAACTGGAACAGAATGCTGATCGTAGTCTTTGTAGTGTGTACAACCGTAGAAATGGCGAGAGCAGGACTAGGACCCGTAAACTCCCCTTCGAAAACAGGTAAGTCCCAGGTAGCTCATGTGGCCGAGCTCATTATTCAAGCGAAACGATATCCATTTCAACGGAAACCTTTTGCAATCGCACATGTGGAAACAGAAGATGTCGGTTTATTGTCCGATGGGTTGGTTTCACTGCGCTCTCTGAATTTGGTTAAAGACCTAGACCCAAAACAGCGATAGTTGGCTATCTTGAGACTTTTAATCAGTAACTGGCTTCGCTTCGAACAACAGATTAAATTCGATCAAGGTTGCGAAGTGCACGAGGCTTTTGTCTCTGATTATTTTTTTTTCTTTCTTATGTACCTAGGAAAGGGAATCTTTAACGCGGCCAATTGCTTGCAACGCCCTATAAAGCAAATGTGCTTTGGTGGCAAGACAGCTTAATATGAGTTTAGAAAGTCATCCATCACAGAATTCACCATACTCAGAATTTCTCCCCTTGTGCCTTAGATTCTTTCGCATTGAATCCAAAAAATGATTCACTCTTATAGTTATTCCATGTTTTATTCTGAAATATTTAATATTCTTTTTTATTATGATTCAAACCTACATAGCTGCGAAAAAAATTATGTTTATTTGATAACTAATTGCTATATTATGAGACAATTTTTAATTTTTTCATTTCGTTAATTCGTAAATTCGTTAATTATAACAATTTTTTTATAAAAATCTTTCCATAAAAATGAAGTTGGGAGTTTTCCTACTTGAGAGCACACACCGTTACTTGGCCTGTGGTGCAATTGTTTATGTCTCATTCGTTTGGACATCTATTACGTATACGACGTAGAGTTTTTGCACAAACCATCCCATTGAAAACTGACAATGGACAAAAAAGCAGCAAGAAAAATAAAGAAGCCGCTCCGGCAGTAACAACAAACAACAACTGAGTACACAATTTAACACGCTCGTTCGCATTTCCTGTTTGGAATATCGCTTTGTCTGGCCAAAAAATATTCATACATCATAATAAAGAAAACTTTAATTCAGGCACACAGACAGCAAAAACACCTACGCGCAGCGAAATGCATTTGTATTGGCCTTATCAGGCGCGTACAACATGCTGTATAAGTGCTGTTGTTATTCCCCCAGCTATAGAGAAACCAGAGCGGAATTTATCAAATTCTTAGAACAATTTTTGTCCATTTTCAACGTGATAAGCAAAGCCAAAAAAAAAATAGATCGTGAAAGTTCTACGAGAGAGAGCAAGAGAGGGGGCGGCGAGAGAGCGAAAGTGGAGTCAAAGTCAAACTGAGTGTGTGTAACACAAAGAATGAGAGTGTGTATAATTGATTCTGGTGGCGGTTCTGCGGCTCTTCCTCCATCTCTCACTCTTCTTTGGTTCTTCTGCATCTTTGGTCGCCCTCCCACTTACTCAAATTAATTGCTTCTGCAGCAGGAGCAAGCGAGAGGGGGGATGGCGACGTCGCGACTCGGCTGCGCTATTTTTACTCTCTCCCACTCCTACTTTGGCTTGTCTCTTCCCTCCATTGTGATGCACTGCCTCTGCATTTTCCAGGGGCGGATCTGGAGGAAAAATTTACAGCGAGGTTACATTTTTAATGGGGTGACAACTGTTGGTATAATTTAAAGATCCTTTCATAACCTCATCCTAATCCCATGCAATCCGCCCCTGGTTTCATCTGCAACTTCTACCGGATCTCTAGGCTCTTTATTTGTTTATATTACTGGCGCATACTTTTGCTTTCCGTTTTGCGGGAGAGTGAGTGAGAGATTGCGATGGTTCTGCTCACTTGCGGATATTGAAATCTTGACTGCTGGCAGACGGGAGAATGGGGGATACGTTCAGGAATTTCGCAAAACTGAAACATTTTCTTCGTTTTCCATTCGGGCTTCTGGGCGTGGAACCTCGATCTAGGGGCAAAGTACAGCTGGCTGCACTGAACAAATACTTCCCTAACCTTTGAATAATTCCTAATAAAAATAAATTATTCGTTTGCTTATGAGTATCTGCACAACATGCTCTGTTCCCTAGTTATTGTACCTCAACTTGATTTTTAAATTTATAAATCAATGTTGAAAGTATGTTTACGCTATTATTTAGTTCGCACTTAAAGTTCAATCGAAAATACCAATGCTTTCTTTCTGTGTATGCAGTTGTGCGTAAGTGAGTGAAAGGGCCTCGTGAATCCACAGAGTCATTTGAAAATGCTCTAGCGACGCCCCAAGACCCACAAATAATGACTAAACCCCTCACATATAGTTCGATTTGGAATGGCGCCGTCGAATGATAATTTCACCTTGCTCGAAAGGTTTTTCGGCTACTTGCCTGCGTGTGTGAGTGAGTGTTTCGTTTATTGAACTGAACCACACAAGTTGTTGTTTGGTAGCTATGCGGAATTTTAGATGATTCATGCATTACTTTGCGCCAGCGACTTATTTTTCTCATCGAGCGTTGAGGGGGGGTGATTTAGTAAACGACCTCACCTCCCCCTGCGCTGATCACGCAAACCAACAATGCAAAGTTGTGTATTATAATGAATCCGATCCGAATCCACTGGCTTTAGTAACATTTGCCAACGAGTGTTTTGTCAGAGTCTCCAATGCCTGCGACATACTCATCCACTCACACGTCACACACACGAACTCGGTGGAAGTACACTCGCAATAAAAATATATATACTTTTTTATTTTGCGGAGCGATTCAGTGGATTGCAATGTAATGCTTGCAGGCGAACCAAACGTGAACTTCTTTCGACCCTCTTTGCATCTGGAACATGCTCTTATTAGAATGACAAGAGAACTATAAGATGCACAGCAAGAAATTGCTGAATGAAATTGCAAATATGAAATTTGTATTACTTGAAATGTATTGTTGACCTGGACATTTAGATTTTCTCGTCTAGTCTCTGATTTCGTTAAGGGAAAATTGTGGGGAAAACTGGAAAAGCTCCACAGGCCACGTTTCATTGAAACCGAAGCGTGACTTTGCAGTGGGTGCCGCTTCACATGCTGATAAATATAACCAATTATTGTGCTGATAATTGACGTGCTCCGCTCTCCCATGGCATAACAATAGTTCTTTTCAGCAGCAGAGATACCCAGGCGGGGGAGGAGGTCGATCGAAACGGGCGAATGACGCCAAAAGATTATGCAGATACTTCCCAAAATAACTCATCGAAAGGGGCGCCATTAAATGGGATTGATAGTGCATTATTAATAATAATGTGCAGTTCACCTGGCCTCGACCGCCCTTACCCAAGGTCCTTCCACCTGTCATGAGTGTAACGATCTATTTTTAACGACTTCTTTCGTGAGCTATCAGCTGGTTGTATCAAATGCGATGATAAGCAGCTCGCCGATAAGGAAACATTTGTTTGATTAGCTCACGTTGACTTACGCTTCCCGAACAATTTGTGTATTTGACCTCATATTATTATAGCATGACGTTAAGAAATCATGATGTGCAATTTATATGTTTATATTCCCAACTGCAAGAACAACTGTTTTATGTTAAATTTACGTACTTTGTATTCGTTGCACATTCAAGTGCGAGCATCAAAGTCTACAATATACGAGTCCATTTATATATTTCAGTGCCCATGATTGTACATTCTTGGGCCCATAAACGAATTTCATGGTGATGACAATTATTAGAGGTCGATGTGTTAATTATTTGCCATCGCATTTTCTGTCTTCCCCTTTACTCTTCGGCAGTGCAGCTCGTAATTCGATCTGAATACTTAACAACAAGAAATAACCATAGGATTATATCTCTTTTCTTGCAGCACGAGACAGCGAGGGCAGAAAGATGAGCAGACGCCGGAAAACTCGGAAACCGTCGCCAAACCGCGGATCCATATCGCATCGGTCGAGCAGTTCATCGACGGCAGGGGGTGGGGTTATCGCTTAGATTAGATTGTCCTATGGCAAATTAGCTTATTTCGTACATGGCGCATATACACATGTATGTACATATATGTGACAACGCACACAAACACGCACATATGATATAGATACTGTATTATTAAATGTAGAACATAAGTTTGATTACTCTTTATATACCCGTATATATACATAATTGTGATTTAAGCGATTTTATCAAATCAGCATTATGCGACTCTTTATAAAATTCGTCGTAGTCAGTAAGTGCAAACGAACCCTAACAGAGAACATGCAATACTTGTTGTAAATTACCAAAAAACAAACAAAAAATCAAAACAAAACGAAGGCGATAAATATAGCAAGTCGAAATGAGTGTAACAAGTGCCATTAGGACTAGAGCTAGCAGCAGCAAGCGACACACCAGCAACAGCAAAATTATCTCCACAATTTATGCATTTCCCATAGAATACAGATATCAATGCAACAGATAACTAATTAGAGACAGCTAGCCAGAGCTTGTATGTATATTAGCTGATATTCGCAGTGTGGACGGGATTGAGGGATAGGGATAAATGTTTGATATTCCATTTTAATTAGTACAAAAGTAAGACTAACCAAATCGCCACAAAAGAACAGATTGAAATAGATTTCCTTGTTCCTTCCCTGAGGATATTTGCCATACGCACAAAGAAAATTGTAAACCTATCACAATAGAGATGTTATTTAACACCGTAATGTGTGTGTCAAAGCTAAAGTGAAATATTGGAACGAAGAATGTCCCTAGAGGGATTATATAGATCATATAGAAGTGGTATACGTACACTAAACCTAGTCCCATCGGGAATTATGAACAATGCCAATTGCAGAAGAGATATATTGAAGAACAACATGGTTTTAACAAACTATTTTTCCATTATCATTTTAGTTCGATATTTGATGCTATTGCCCACCACAAGATCTATGCGAAAAGTACTTCTATAGCTAGTCGTCAGTCTCGACAGATATTTTACTAAAAAACAACGAAGGCGAATGACAAAGTACATTCAAAGATCTTCCGCCAGCCGGTGTTAGCTTTCTTTATCTGTTATATATACACTTACCGATAGGGATTATCTTTTACTTGCAATTTTGATATTAATAGGCAAAATGGATTGCTGCTGCTGCAGATCGGTTCATAGTTAAATTTTATATACGAATGGAGATCCCAATATTTGGCCTACAATTATGCATTCATAATTTTTAAAGAGCTTAATTATTAATCGAAAATATACTTCATTTTCTTAGTTTAGCTTAAATGAGTATTAGGCAAGGCAACGAACGGATAGTATTTAGGGGCAGTAGAAACGGGGTTAGATGGCCTTTTTGGAAACCGAAACATACCCGACATTACATATTCGCAAACGCATTTAAGACAAACGCAAAATTTGCAATTCAAAACGTAAATGTAAAATGAAACTTAAGTCTTGAAACCAAACAGAGAACAACAAAAAGTAGAATAATTTTTTATACGCAACTTTTATTGCAAATGTAAAGGGACGAATAGGAGAAAGAAGAAGCTGACATCAATTTTGATCGATTCGTAATTATATTAATATACACTAAAAGAATTGGCTCTATTTCAATTAAACGTAAACGTAGTTAAAATACAAAATGCATATTATTGTGCAAGGTCAACACGACTTGCCAAAATAAAAGTAAACAGTATAATAAATAAAAAGATCTAGATATTTAGTGAACAGGAGAAAAAAATAACGATACATTAGCGCTTTACCAATCGCTTAAATTCAAAGAGCAAACCCCACTATACGTTTTATGTTTTATGTGCGCACGTTTTGTTTGCTTGAAACCTAAGTCGTAATATATATTCTACCATTATTTAGATTTATTTTGCAATTTACCATTTAAGTCAACCTTATACACAGACCCAAATCCATTAAGTACTCGTAGTCCACATCCACTTCGATCATTGAAGATGATGGCCCCTCACAATTGTATGTATTTAGTTTACCTTGCACTGTAATTTTTATTTTGTGTTGTTAAATATATCGTTATTTACTTATTCGACCAAAACTTTCTGTTATATATTTATTTACATTGCGGTTGCAGTCAAAATAGTAGCAATTGTGTTTCAAGATACACCAGAATGCAACTACATTCTTTCGCAAAGTGATGTAGCAGAACTGGGTTCTTTTGCTACATCTATTTTCAATTGTTGAAATAAATGACCTCAACAATACATGAAGAACACAAAACAAACTAAAAATGCAAACTTTCAGTAAGAAAGTACACAAATGAGATATATAAAAGTATTTATAGGGCGACATTCGAGAATCTATTATTTTGACTGCACCTAAGACTTGTCCGTTACAGCCAAACATCCTCGCGATATTTGCCCTGCGTCTTCAGTTCCTTAAACACCTGCGAAGCTTCTTCCTCAGTAAGATGCAGAGCCTTCTGCAGGCACCGACTTAAGCCACTTGCAATGGACTGCGAAATCTTCGCGCCATCAGCACAAATGTATAACACAGTCTCCGGCTTCATCAGGAACTTGACCAGATCGTCACAGTCCTCCTCCAACATTTCTTGCACATAGATGGGGGATTCGCCTCGCGAGTAACATATCCGTAGGCGCTCCAGCAACGAGGATTGGTGCCAGGCCAATAGTTTCTCACGCTTAAGAATGGCTTTTGGGGTCTTAGCACCAATGTAAAGCCAGGAATGTCCGCTTTCCTGTTGCGACTGTTGTTTCATAAGCTCTTCTTTGTGGGCTAAGAATCCAAGAAACGGTGCCAGACCTGTGCCAACTGCAATAAGTATTTGGTTGCTGCCCAAATCCTGATTTGTGTAACGAAATTGGTTGCTTATTCGTGGGTAGATAACCACCTTATTGGGATGCTCCGGGCTACTTTGCTGCGCAGCCGCCTCCAACATGCTGGTTGTGACTCCAGGTCTTTGGCTGAGCAGCGAGTAGATAACGCGGAGTTTGCGATCGCCATCTTCCAAGGGACTGTTGGCAATGGAGTATGGTCGCGGCAGTAGCCGTGGCAAATGCTCTGCCAGGAAGGCCAGTGACGGTCTGCAGTTGACGCACAATTTAAGAATATCCATGAAAAGCAGACCTTGCTCTAAGATCAGCGATTGGTAGTGCTCGGTGGCCTGTTTAGAGGATAGACAGGATAGGAAACAACGCTCTTTGTCGTCATTTGTAAATCCGGCCAGGGCGCTGAGGAGCTGCTTCTGCGGAACAAAGTTTAGCGACAGGCTGTGGGTAAGGATCTCCCGGGGAGAAGTCGTGGCTGGAATGTGGGCGGGTAGCTTGGCATTCTTCTTGGCGCAGTTGAGCGCTATCTTAAAGTGGCAATTGGCGTCGGCCTGGTCCAACAGTTCCAGCCGATGCAGCAGGCTTTCCACTTGTTCGGGTTTATTGTTGGGCAAAATGCCAATGGTGTCCCCGGGCTGGTAGTCGAACGTGGACTCCAGAGTCAGCTCCACCACGCGTTTCGTCTCCGTTGCCTTATCCACAGCCACGAGCACCTTGCTCTCCTTTATCTCCACCGACCTTGGCTTGGAATCCAAGCGGGCGAATGGGAACTTCAAAACATCGCCGCATTTCAGTTGAGCGCATACTTTGGTGGGTGTCTGCAAATATAAGCTTTAAAAGGCTATTCCTACGGTAGCTTCTAACTCACCTGCTCTCCGCCCGTGAAGCACACCTCCAGATTACAGACCAGCGGCTTGGCAGGGATATATTCACTCAGAATATAAGCTCCTAAGTCCATTTTTCCCGAACTTACCAAATCGCATGGCCAGCAGTCAAAGCGCCAAACCAGCAGTGTTGAAAAGGGTTCATATGAATTGATTATGTATGTACCTAGATACGCAAAATAAGCTGAATATCATTAAATGTACATTTTAAATATATCATAAAAATGTAATAAAATAGAATATTTAATCCTTAAAATATTTGTTTTGAAAAGGATAAGTTTCTTGTACTCATAGTTAATGATATTTACTTGATGAAGGTACCTAATTAAAAACTGAACTTTCTCAACACTGCACAGCGCGGAGCTATCGATAGACACAGTTATCGTAAGCATGAGGAGCTTTATTTGTTGCTGCACAACAATCCGAAATCTTTAGTAAAACCTATAAGGATCAATATCCAACAGAATGGCAGACACCGCCAGCAGTGACGACGAGTTCCAGGACGCGATCGGCGAGGAGATAACCGAAAAAGAAGCCACCAGCACGCGACAGAGCGAAAAGGATGTGGATGAGATCGTGGAGAAGCAAAACCAGCTGGCGTTGGATGACGAAGCGGAGCAGGGCGCGGCTGGCGGAGATTCCATTGCGACACCACTGACTGTGGACTCTGAGCTTACCATTGAAGAGTTGCGCGAACGGGAGAAGGATCTCAGCCCAGAGCAGCTGACAGCTAACAAAGAAAAGGCCAATAAGCTGAAAGTTGAGGGCAATGAATTGTTCAAGAACGACGATGCCGAAGGCGCCGCCAAGATCTACACAGAAGCCCTGGACATTTGCCCGTCGGCTAGCACGAAGGAGCGAGCAGTGCTGTACGGAAACAGGGCTGCTGCCAAGATTAAGCTGGAGGCCAACAAAGCAGCCATCGACGACTGCACAAAGGCCATCGAACTGTGGCCGGACTATGTGAGGGCGCTTCTGAGGTCTGCCAGCAATATTCCTCTTACCACTTGGTATTTTAAAGTCTAATTACATCTTACAGGCGTGCCAAGCTTTATGAACAAGACGACAAGACAGACGAGGCTCTGGAGGACTACAAAAAAGTTACTGAGATCGATCCCGGCCAGCAGGAGGCTCGCGAAGCTCAGGTTCGCCTGCCGCCCATTATTAACGAGCGCAACGAAAAGCTCAAAAACGAAATGATGTCCAACTTAAAGGACCTGGGCAACATGATACTCAAACCGTTCGGGCTGTCTACACAGAATTTCCAAATGCAACAGGATCCTAACACGGGCTCGTATTCCATAAACTTCAACCAAAAACCTAGCTAGTTAATGCTCTTCAGAAGAAGAAATAAAGCTGTACTCGAAGATGATGTGTAAAATAACAGTTACATTTTACACCTCAGTAGAAGATAAAATGCGTATGCATTTTACGTACAATCAAGGTACTAAAATGTTTGAGGTGATAAGAAATTAATTATATTTAATATTAAATGCATGGTGTGATATGCTTTTAATATATTAGGATTGTTCCGCATTTGACTGTCTTGTTCACTAAATATGTTTTAAATAATTTAATTGCTTTTTTATGTGGGTATTTGAGGAATTTTTAATAAACGTGATCAAGTCGCAGTCACAACAAAATTGTCATTTCTCATCTCTGTTATTCCGATACCGATAACGATTAGCATGGGCAGAAGCAACAGCTGACTGTGACACTTGCGTTCCCCGTGAAGAAGAAGAGCAATTTGTTGAAAAAATCGCAATTCGCAAATTACAAAATTAGATTCGTGCAATCGCAGGCATTAGCTGCCCCCTTATTGTGGGCCAATCCAGTGGCGTGGCCGTGAGCAGCGGTGCATGCAAAGATCCCAAAGAACTGCGCCCTCGCAATCTTCCGTACCCTGATATGAGAGTAGTCAGGCGGATCGCGGCCAGTTGATTCCATCCAAGTCGCCAGCATGTTCCGGAGTCGCAGCTGGTTTGGCGGACCCTGGGGCGGGCGGCCTAAGAACCGCCTGTCGCTGGAGCACCTTAAGTACCTGTACAGCATCCTGGAGAAGAACACCACCGTGTCGGAAAGTAATCGTGGCCTGCTGGTGGAGTCGCTGCGCTGCATCGCAGAGATCCTGATTTGGGGCGATCAGCATGACTCGCTGGTGTTTGAGTAAGTAACATGCATCGCAATGTAATGTAAACATTATTAACATTTTTTTTGTATTACACAGCTTCTTTCTGGAGAAGAATATGCTATCGTATTTCCTGCACATAATGCGACAAAAGAGTGGAGGCTCGAGTTTCGTGTGCGTGCAGCTCCTACAGACTCTCAACATCCTCTTTGAGAATATACGCAACGAGACGTCCTTGTGTTAGTCCCATTATCAACTTTTTTGTAGTACACTCGACGTAATCATTCCCTTTACGTTGCAGATTATCTGTTGAGCAACAACCATGTAAATTCCATCATGGTGCACAAGTTTGACTTCTCCGACGAGGATGTGATGGGATATTACATTCTTTTCCTAAAGACGCTAAGTCTAAAGCTGAACACTCACACAATACACTTCTTTTACAATGAGGTTTGTACTGCACGAATCACATTATTATATCCATTAAATCTTTACCTTATTATCCTTATCCTTACAGCACACAAATGACTTTCCCTTGTACACAGAGGCTATTAAATTCTTCAATCATCCCGAGTCTATGGTGAGAATTGCAGTGCGCACCATTTCCTTAAATGTCTACAAGGTTCAAAACACGAGCATGTTGCGATTTATCCGAGACAAGTACTGCCTTTACCTACAGTTCTATGAGAGCTCCTATAAACTTATTTTCTCCCTAGAACTGCTGCTCCGTATTTCAGTAATCTGGTCTGGTTTATCGGCAAACACATTCTGGAACTAGACACTTGTGTTCGCACAGATATAGAGTAAGAGTTATCGTAATATAGCCCGCTGCTTTATAGTATTGACTTTTTAATTCATTCGCAGCCATCAATCGAATCAGAAGCTGTCAAATTTGGTGGCCGAGCATCTGGATCATTTGCATTATTTGAGTGACATTCTTCTGCTGGAAATCAAGGATCTGAACGCGGTGTTAACCGAGCACTTGCTTCATAAGCTATTTGTGCCTCTGTACATATTCTCACTTACTCCAGCTCCGCCCCCGCCCTCACTGGCAGTGGTTACCCAGAATCTAGCTGCTGTGCTTAATCGCAATGTTGACATCGACATTCAGGAGATGCACAATCCGCGAGTGAGCTCCATCGTGGCCCTTTTCCTGCTCTCATTGGTCTTCCTGGTGGTTTCGCATGCCCCGCTAGTGCACGCTCTAGCATGGGTTATCCTTAATGGTAACCACAGTGTTTTTAAGGAAGGTGCGGCTGAGATTCTTAATTCTTACGTTGAGCACCGCGAGGTTGTTGTGCCTGGTTTCGGCGAGCCCAACGAGAGTCTCGAGCAGGCTTTGGATACCGTCACCGGTCAGTCCAGCTCGTCCAGCTATGCTCTTAGCGAGGACAGTGGCGTGGAGTCATCCTCTCCAGCCACTACGGAACTGGACTCTCAAGCAGATGTGGTCGAAGCGGAGCAGCTAAAACTGCGCAACATAACTGATGAGGAAAAGCAGCTGCTCCAGAAGTCATCTTCATCAACGAAGGCCGAGTTTGTTGAGATGGCCAACCCCTTTTTAGACACGGTCCTTCACGCTTTGGACTGCACCGAAAACGATTACCTTGCCCTGTTGTCGCTGTGCCTCATATATGCTATGTCGCACAATCGAGGTAAGATCCATGGAAACTATCCTTAACTTTTTTTGACGCTTTATTTTTGGCTAACGTTGTGTAACTTTACATTGCTCTGATCACCCCATTTCTGCTTCATTCTAATTGCTTTCTTTGTGTGTAATGAAAATGTCACATTCTGGTACATGTCCCAATCCGTTCAGATGGTATGTAACTCGTCCACTTCCTGTACTAATCAGTCATATGTATCCACCATTGTCTAGTTAATAAAAATGTTGGTGTACCTTCCCATATAGGCATCAAGAATGAGTGGTTTGAACACGTTCTGGCAAAATCAACGCGTGGCGCCTTCAGTTATAAGACAGCATTGATTGAGCATCTGTTGAACATCATCACCCAGTCCAGTCAGCCATGTATGTACAACTCGAACCCGGTTGAAATACGGTTATAGCCCTTTATGATAAAATGTTTATTCCTTTAAGCGTCCCGCATTCGCTTGATTACCGTTGAGATTGCTTTGGAGCTACTGGTCACTTTCACCCGTCCCAGCTCGGATGATTCGCGCTGCATTACCGCCGCCCAACAGGATCTGCTTTTCAGTGCTCGCAATCAGTCGATGGTGGTCCTCCGCAACTTCTACAAGTCGGAGGACATCTTCCTTGATCTGTTCGAAGACGAATATAACGAGATGCGAAAGGCCCAACTGAACGTGGAATTTCTATGCATGGACTCCACCATTCTACTGCCTCCCACGGGAACGCCTCTTACGGGAATCAACTTTACGCGACGCCTTCCCTGTGGGGAGGTGGAGAAGGCACGCCGGGCCATTCGTGTGTACTTCTTGCTGCGTCGCACGTGCCAAAAGTTTTTGAATGAGAAGGAAACACTGTTGCCGCTTACAAATGTAGTCAATCTGGTACAGGTGGAAAACGTACTTGATCTGAGTAAGTTGCCCATATGACGATGCATATATTTGGGCTAACCATTCTCAATCTCAACAGACAATAGTGACCTAATAGCCTGCACCGTTGTGGCTAAGGACAGCAGCAAGCAAAGACGCTTCCTAGTCATTGACGCACTACAGCTAATTCTCGTAGAGCCGGATGCAAAGCTTTTGGGCTGGGGTGTGGCAAAGTTCGTTGGCTTTCTACAGGACGTAGAGGTGCAGGGTGATAAAGACGACTCGCGCTGCTTGCACATCACGGTGCACCGGGGTGGAGTCACCCACAACCGCACTCCGTTGCTCTCGGCTAAGTTCCTGTTCGACGATCACATTCGTTGCATGGCTGCCAAGCAGAGGTTGACTAAGGGTCGCAGCAAGGCGCGACAAAAGAAGATGTACCAGATAGCTCAGCTCATCGAGATTCCTGGGCAGATGGATTCTCCCGTCTACGCTGTTGGCGGCACCATGGTCGCATCCAGTAGCGGTGGAAGTGGTAACAGCAGTGGCAGCAGTTCGCGCAGCAGTCACCACCGTCCCATGTTCTCCACGGCCAATCGAGTGCCTGGATTTGCAGCTGTGCTGCGTGGAAGCAATAGCGCCGGGGTTAGTCGGACCCAGATGGCTCCGAATCGCTCCATCGAAGGGTAAGTTTAAGTCGCTGTGTCCTCATGTTTCTCATTTCCATCCTCATCTGTGCGTCTTCCTGCAGAATTAGAAATGAAAGCGCTGGCCGCTCCCGACGCCGTAGTCCCAGCTCAACTTCGGGCTCGAATCTTAGGGCCGATCACTCGGATCGGGAGCGATCGCCCAGTGTTAGCATGGGCAGCCACAGCTCCTCGCAGTCGCGGGAGAACTCCCAGCCCAGAAGTACTGGAAATCGATCGCGGGAGAGCAGCCCTAGAATGCCCAGGCCGCGGTAACAATAAAACAGCTTTTATTCGTTAGCTTTGTTGTCTTGGAGTGGTTGTTCTTATAATTGAGATTTATATAGTATTGTAGTATTTTTAACTAGTTTTTTATTTTTTGAAATTGAATTTCGTTCATCAAAAAGTTCCATGTTTTTTTTTTTTTGGCTCTTAGGACGAATGAATTTCATTAATATATACCTAACAAATTCTGTAAGATTGACGTAAGTTTGCTCGTAATACCACTTTGTATAACTATGTATAGAGATATCCTTTTTCATATGTTTTTATTAAAATTTGCGTATTCTTTTGACAAATAAACACCGAATAGCATGTATTAAAACTCACCAATTTTATCTGTCCTTGTTATTCTATGTGTTTATTCATGTTCTTATACTGAGGTAGTTTTTTTTTTATCTGAAATGAACTAATTTGCAACTTTTAATCATCCAATCGAGATATAAATAAATGTATATTTTTTCATTCTAGGTCGGAGGAGATTCCTCTCGAGGATTTTCAGCACTCACGCAACAACAGCCCGCACTCGCGGGGAAACCACTCGCCCGCTTCCCGCTCACACACGCCCATCCGCGTGCTTCACTATGACCAGCTATCCGGGCACAGCGGCTCACCACGTGAGGCGTCCCTGGTGGGCACTAACGCCCTGTTAAGCCAGTTGAATGGTCTGGCCCGTGAAGTGGTCCCAGCGCAGAGCTCCGAGGAGACGTCTTTTATCGGGAGCGACGCGAACGAGGCCACTGGAGGATCGGAGGGCAGGCGACGGGGAGCCATAGAGACGGTCTGAGTTAGGCTAGAAATGTTAGTATTACTTTGTGAGGAGCCTTATGCTTAGATTGTTGCTAAAATTGTGTTATTCCAATTGTGTGTTATTCTAATAAGGTGGTACATACTCCAATTCCTTTTCATTTTAAATAAAAATTAATTTGACGAATTTGAGCTCAAGCGATAAATACCTGTCTCACTTTTGTGGTAAGTCCGTCCTGAAAAATTACGAGAGCAAATATAGTAAAGAAATAAGTTTTTGAATCTTCAAAAACTGAAAGCTATTGCTAAAAAAAATTATTGTGCTCCATAATGAAAACTTAAAGTTGAGATTAATTATTTATCGGCCAATAAACAGGATTATTTGTTATTATTATTATTTAATCTGAAGTTAATAAATTCTATAATAATATAATATATAAGTTAATAAATGTTCTAAAATAATATACATAACGGTTAGGAATTTAAGGAATACCCCTAATTTCAGCATTTTGTGTGAATGGCAACTGCACTTAATAATCAGCTGTCGCTTGTTTTTGCTTCGTGACATAACCGCAATTTTCTAAAACTTGAAATCTAAATTATTTAATGAAAAGCACAGCAAATTAAATTAATATGTCTCACAAGTACACGGAGCTGATTAAGCTCGGCACGCAGTATGCTCGCCGGATGAACTACCTATCAAATCGCATTTTCGGCGAAGTGGCTCGCACCACAAACGAGAAATCCATGAAGGTGTGTTTCCAAGATAAATGTACGAATTAAAATGTAACCAAGTTTGATTCCCACTTCCTCAGGTGGTTCGTATGTTTTCGGAGGAACCAATTCACAAACGGGACTACGTGGTCAACTGGTATCCGCGGCACGTGGAGACGCACCTGCTGATGAAGAACCTGCGCGACTACGGCCTATTTCGCGATGAGCACCAGGACTTCAAGGAGGAAATGAAGCGTCTGCGCAAGCTGCGCGGTAAGGCGCCTCCCAAGAAGGGCGAGGGCAAGCGCGCCTCAAAGAAGTAGTACAATAAATATTCTAACATTAATTTTTATTGAACCAAAGCTAGTCTTTTTGACTGCGAGTCAACAACTTGGCACTGCCGACGAAGACCACCTCGTCGTTCTGTCGTATGTCGTACTCTACGGTGGAAATTTTGCGAGACTGGAGCAAGCGTACGGTCACAAGGGTGTCGGTCTCGATGCGACAGGGTTTCAGAAACTTGAAATTTTGCTCTAGAACCACGGTGCCAGGACCTGGTAGCTGGGTACCCATTATACCCGCAACCACCGCGTTGAGCAGGGCTCCGTGGACGCGGCGCTCTTCTCTGGGTGTTTCCAGGCTATGGATGTAATTGTGGTCGCCGGTGAACTGGGCAAACTGCTCTAAATCGCTTTGGGAAAACCGCTTAACCACTTGCACCTGCTGAAGTGCTCGGCTGCTCAACTGTCGGAACGTTTGGGAAAGCATTTTGCAGCTGTACAATCTCGGTGCGTGTTGCGAAATCTTGCAGCAACAACTGACAAAGTCTAACGATGCGTTCATCGTGAGCCTTGACCCGCCACTCTTGTACCGTCCTCAGCACTGAAGGACTCAGAAGTAAATCCCGGTCAACCTCACCGAATTCCAGTAGTTGGTAAAACAGCGCCAGGCTATGCAGCACTATTTCCGGGTGATCAGTGCGCACAAAGAGTCCGGTTATCAGTTTTAGTTGCTCCCTGATTAATTGGGCAGCTGTTTTGTCTGCAAAAAGAATAAGATGAACAACAAGATAGGTATGAATATATGATGTCAGCATACCCAGGCAAAGATTACACAATGCCGCGATTCCGTGCACTTTTAGTAGCTGATCCTGAGATTCCAGCGATGCCAGGAATACGTCCAAGGCATCCGCCTCTAGCAGATGTGACCAGTTGATTGGATCGTATGCAAAATTGGCCAAGTTGGCAGTCACCTGCTGCTGGGCCTCTAAAAATTTAAATCCGAAAATGAGTTCACATTGCAAAAAACCATATGTAAGTAAAAGCGATACCGATGTTGGTTGTTGTGTAATACTCATCGACCAGGTGACCAATGTACTCTCGGCGGTCAATACCCTGGGCAGGCGTCCTACGCTTCAATGTCCTGTGGCTGGAGAACATAAAATGTTTGGAAAGCAAATCCGCGATTTCAAATCAGACCCAAGGTGCCATTCACTACGGCAAGTATTTCTGTTTTACCATTCGCATGTAAACGTGCTCAAATACAATAGCGGGCAAAGTAATAGATATTCGGATTTTAAACCATAATCATATAATTTAATTGTTTCATCCTATTAGTACATTAAGCAAGTGGGTTGTACAATAGAACACCTATTAATTTATTTGCAAACATAATAATTTTATTTCGAAAATATCTGACATATAAATATTGTTTAGAAAACGTTACACATTTTACTCAATTCCTTTTCCATATATGTAAGTACATTCATATTAAGAAGCGAAAAATACTATATTTCAAATAGTAATTTATTAAAGCAAATTTCGTTCTTTAAAGGTAAACCACCATCCAGGAAAAGCTCCTCATTATGAAGCCTCTTCCTATCCTGAAGCCCTAACTTTCCTCCTTGCTGGGACTGTCTTTTCCCAAGAACTCTGTGTCATTGGAATTGCTGAAGTGGCTTCTGGCAGCTGCAACGGACTTTGGTGGGACGTTAAACAGTGGGTGGGTGGGCAGTAGCTCGTTAATGGTGTCACCCAGGACCTGTGGGCTGTTGGCGCACTCCGAGTGCTGGGCAATGGAAACGCCGCTGAGGGTGTAGCATGTGTGGTAGAGATCCTGTGGTCTGAAAACAAGGATTTCATACTATACAAAATCACAAAGTTGCTAATTATCCCTTACTTTCCAGGTTTGTCGATAAGCCCGCCGTTCTGTTTTTGGCAGCAGAGCAGGATGTACTCCTGCAGGGCCTCCACATCGAACAGGGTGTGCTCCATTTGCTGGTCGACGCCGGATAGCGTAGCCTGTGTAATAGGAATGGTGGCGCCCACCCAGAATGAGTAGCAGCCATCAACCAGTTTGTTGGTCCTCCCCTGGAAGCCGCCTTCGTAGGTCATCTGCCGGCGCAGTGTCCACCTGAGCAGGGCCTGTCTGTCGCATTTATCTGCTTCGTTGAGCAGCGCCAAGCTGGCAATTCCACAGAAGGTGTAGCCACCATGGGCCTCCAGACCAGGGGCTCCGCCAAATCCTCCCTCGTATGTCTGACACTGGGCTATCCAATTGCCAGTGCCAGCGAACAGCTCCTTTATGACTGGCTCGGGAATATTTAGCAGCTTGGCGCAGGAGATGGCGCAGTAGGCGCCACGCACATCCGTCTCACCATCCACGTGGAGCCGGAAGGAGCCGTCTGACTCACGCACACTGAACAGAAACTGGACCAAAGTCGGTCGGTCGATGGCACGGTACGCCTGCTCGGTTCCAATGATGCAAAGACTGTTCACTGCCGCATAGGTGGGCGCCAGATGGGCATACTGGCCAGGTCCTCCTCCGAAACCTCCAGTCGGCGAGCGGCAGCTATAAAAGAGTGGAAGAATGGAGCATTACGGATGAATCTGAGGGAAATATCCTTTCAAGACGCACTTGCTTAGAAATTGGACCACGTGGTCTAAAGTCTGGTCGTCGAAGTTAAAGCTAAGTAGCTGGGCCGCCTGCAGGATCCAGTAAACGCACCACGGACGACTGCTGTCCAGGCATTCGTAATTGGAGGGCAGTCGCCTCAGCATCGCGTCCAGGTAGTACTGGTGCTCCAGCCGGAAGATCTGGGTGAGGCGCGGGTGGGTGAGCATCATCCGCTCGAAGCGGTCAAAGCATTTCTCCACCGAACCCTCCGTTTTTTGCTGAAAGTATCCATAGGTTCCTATCTTTTCCTCGCCGACATTCAGGGATTACTTACCTGCTCGCGGGATGTGGTGGTGGACACCTTCTCGTCGTCGAACATGTAGCTCTTCAGGCGCTGGAAGGTGCGGAACACCAGCTCCTCCTCGGTTCCCATTTTACTCCAATGCGGTTAAAATAAATTAAATAAACTAAAAAGATTTGACGAGCAGGAATTAAAAGAGAATAGTTTTTTTTTTGTGTGAAGCAAACTCGACTTGCAACACTGTTTCTTATTTGATTAGGGTATTCCCTTTAAAAAAAAAATCGCTATTTCGTATTACTGTATAACATTACATTAAGTCTTAAATATACTAAAGCAATCTAATATTTTATTATTTGCTTTATTTTACAAGTAACTAATATTTTTTTTGCAAATATTGCAATTTTAAATGAATAAAATTTAGAATCAAGAAAATATAAAATTAAATATTTATAAAACTAAAATTAATTCACATTTAAAATTCTTAAATACTCAGTTATCGATGGGACATCAAGCTTTCTGAGGTGACTAGATTAAAGGCGGTCGATTGAGAACTGGAGTCCATCATAAAAGTTTCGGGTGCCTCGTCACTAGTCCAAAAGCTGTACAGTTCCATGAACCCATAGACAAATAGGCACACCAGAAAATACGCCGTCAGAGTGGCGAAAATCTGAAACACAATTAGCAATAAGATCTGCAACAATTGTATAATATGAATTTACATTGTTCGGGCACCGACATCACAAACTCACGAAAAAGCTTCCCTTGAGGATTAGGAACACCCAGCCCCTCCAATCCAGTTTGCCAATCCACATTATGAGAGGTTCCGATCCCGATGAGACATTTTGGGGACTCGGATCACCTATGCCACCGATTTCTCCGCCTTCTCCCCAGCTATCGGTCCTTAAAGGAAGGTACCAGTCGTAATAGAGCTGTGTTAGCATAGGCACCTCGAATGGCGACTTCTTCTTGATTATCTTTTCATTTACGGACTCTACGAACTGGGACTGGGACTGGGACTGGGACTGGCCATCCTTCAAATGCTGAAAGCAGTCATTGAAGTCGGCCAGAGTCAGCTTACGCGAGTTGTCGCAATCATCTGACTTTGTGGGCTTGGAATGAAAAAAGTGCCTTGTTGGGTCGGCTAGTCTCCTGCTCTTTTTCTTGTATTGACGTGCCTTATTGGCTTTCGGCTCATGCAGCTAAACCAGGAATCGCATAAGTAATGAAAGATTAATGATTTACTTTGTATTTAAAAAATAGCTTATGGTGTAGTAATAGGAAAAAAGGTTAGTGAAACACTCTAATTGTGTTCCAGTAGGCCCCGGCGAGATTCGAACTCACGATCTCCTGTTTACTAGACAGGCGCTTTAACCAACTAAGCCACGGCGCCATGTTCACGCATGTGGCAAGATTTCACCTTAGTGCTTCCCATACATCTGTACATCTGTACTGTACATCTATTTACACTGCTTGACCTCATTGATGCGCTGCAAGCAGTGCACAAGTTTCAAGTCAAATACGTAAGATGGCGCTAATGAGAATGCATGGACATTGGTGTTTAAAAGCAAACAGAAAACAATATATTTGAAAGTTTAAGAAAGGGTGTCTATTAAAAACCAGTTAATGGAATATACTGTTAATACAGCCATGGTAATATATATATATATATTGGTAATCATACTGATTACCAAATGGAATTAATAATATTTACCGGTGGAGGCCCACGCAAATCCAAAAAATTTGAATCGTAGTTTCCTTGCTTAATTTGGTCCAACTCCTCCTCGGACACAAAATTCCCGGGATCGACGCCCTCGTTGCTGAAGATGTCGTAGTACTCCCCCGGACCAGAGCAATCCGATGCCGGTTCGCACTGTTCCGTTTCCACGTTGAAATAGCTCCGTTTCCCAAAGTATCGCTCCTCGCAGTTCACCGGTGTGCAGTTCCGCAGGTAATTCTTGTCCCAGTTGCCACAGTTCTTGTAATCCTTCCGCCGCCGCAGCTTGTTGCTGTGCGGATCCAGGGTGTCGAAGCGGGTGTCGAAGTGCAGCACTTGCCTCGCAGTTGCCACTGCATCCGTAGCGTGGGCACTCGTGGCTGAGATCAAAATGGGGCAGCTGCCCACCCGGTTGTACAGCGACTGCACAATGGAAAAATCAAGGAAATTTGATTTAATAAGCCCACAAGATTCAATGATTTTTGCACTTACCACAGTGGGCCACACCAGGGAAACAGTTTCACTCTTGCCCGGTTCGACGGAGCCGAAATCCCCGCCAAAGATTCGTCCCATCGCGTGCACCTGCTCTCCGTGGGTCGTGTTCACAGTGCATTCCCCATTCGAGACGACAGTGAAGTCCAGCGTCTCCCTTTTGTCGCTCCGGATGCGGTTGGTGACGGTCATATCTGCTGGGACTAGTCAATCGGAAGAAACGCAGCGAATCGAAATTGGACCTCACCGAAGATCAAGCCAATGTCCTTGTCCCGAGGCACGCGCACTATGACCTTTGTGGCGCACAGGCTGCCGTCGGAGCTGCGTCTGGTGAGTAGAACGAAGCAAACCAACAGGAACTGAAACATTTTGTGACTGAAATTGCTTGGTTACTAAAACAGCACAGTTTTTGATGCAACTCATGCGCATGAAATTGTATTCATATCGGTTATCTAACCTTATCAGCACATCTAGAATACTGCTTCATGTGGTTCATATTCTTGATCCGTCAGATGATCCTTGATCCTGATCCTTGTCCCCGTCCCCATATGAAGTTCCTCGAGTACTGCAACCCTTTGAGTACCCTTATCCACTTACATTTGCGCGAGGGGCCCTTCACAATGAGGATCCCTAATGGGTTGTTGTTTAATTATGTGTAATTTTAGTGCCAGGCAACCCTAACACGGGTTCCTTTCCACATCCTGGCTTACACTTGTGTCGTCCTGGGCACGTAGTCGCGGTATCCATGGCCCGTTTACTGCATCCATTGCAATTTATGTTTTAATCATCAAACGCGACCCAATTAATCAACGTTGCTGGCCTTAATTTATGCGGCGGAACAATGTTTTGAAGTAACCCAACGCGACATCGCTCGACAGGTGACATTTTGCTGGGGGATGTGGATGGGGAAACCTGAGTGCAATGCATATTCATAGCGAGCGGGTCGTAATTTATGCCGAAACTCAAAACTAATTTGACAGGAAATAATTAATTTGGCATCGAAAGAGTCCAAAATAAAAGTGCTGCCAGCCAGTGCCAGTGCCAGTGCCAATTAAAATTATTTCGCTTTCATTACCCATCGGAGCAGCCGTAATAAAAGTCTTACCCAAAGCCCAAAAAACCCCCAGCCTCTGTCCAATCGCGGAGACAAAGAAGCGAGAAAAAGGCAAAAACTAAGCAAAGCAAAAAAAGTTTAAATAATGAAATCACTTCGCACCATCTCGAAATTGCTCATTAACATTTTGTGTTTGCGATATCAACTTGTGAAAATCACAGGGCCCAGCAGACTCTCCGTTGTGGCTGGAGTCCGTACTCCAGGCCATGCTCCAAGCCAAGCTCCAAAAGACCAGGCCAAATGCAGACCCAGACTCCGAGGCAGCAGCAGCTACTTGGCTTTTATTTATTATGCCCTGTTGTTGTTGTCGCCGTTGAGAGGTGTTGCAGTTGCTGTTTTCTCTGTTTTCCTTCTTTTTTGTTTGTTTGGGAAGCTGACTCTTATTAGTTGGGTCAGTCCGTCTTCCTTTTTTTGTCTTTTTCCTGTGGAGGAGGTGTGAAATCGGTTGAAATCCCCTCTTGACCATCCTCCTCAGCTAGATGGCTATTCGCTGGCCGGCCGGTTTCCTCCGCGGGTCGTGATTTGTTTGCAAAAGACACAAACAACTGCTCGGACTTCAACAATTTTTCTAAAGGTCGTTTGCTTTACATTTGCCTTTAGTGAATGAAATTCGCTCAGCAAGCTGAGACACAGGCAAAAATCGAGTTTTGTGTATCATTAAATATATAAATTTAGCCTTAATAAAAGGGCACAATAATAACGAAATAAATCACTATAGAAAGATAGTGCACTTAATGAAATATAATTCGAACCGAAAAATAAATCACTTTCGGTTATGTTTATATGTCAGTTTCAGAAAATATTATAATATACAAATATCGAGTCAAATTATATAAATATAATATGTTTTTTTTGCCAAGATTTGTCAAATTTTCTTAATCGCAGTTCAACGTGGCGTATACTTGTTTTTGGTAATAGCAGTCTCTTTTCTTCGGGTGCAGTGCATCACACATCCCTGCCAGCAGCCAGGAGCACTGCAGTCAAAGTCAGGAGATAAGACGACTGGCTGACTGGCTGACTGGCTGACTGGGTGTATTTCAGTAGCCATTCGATTTATGTTAAATAAGCTGAACGCGAGCTCTGTTTGTTGTAAAATACCAATTGCCAGGCTCATCCGCACGGAGCAACAGAGACGGATGGAGCTGAAATGCTGGACTGGAGGTGGGAGTGAGATTCCTCTGTGATTCACGTTTCTGCATCATTTCTGCCTTTTTCGGTTTTTTGTGTGTCGTTGTTTTGCTGCTGGTGTTGCTGGTGCTGCTGGTGCTGCTGGTGCTTGTGTTGTTGTCGTCGGACTGCATCAGATTTCTTAATTTAATTGGCTTTATGCAAGAGGTTCTCATCTTCTGGTCGGGGGAGAACTTTATAGACAAACTGTCTGCAGGTCCTGTTCCTCCCCCATCCTCCTGCTCCTTCTGAGCCTCCTGAGTCTCCTGCTCCTGCTGCCATCTGCAATCTGCGAGGCTGAAAAAATCGTGGGAATCGTCTATCTGGGCGCGTGTGGACTCGCTGCAAATGCAAAACAGCTTAACCCAATTTTTTGTTTCTTCGCCTCAACGCGAGGAGAAAAACAAAAAATCAATACGAAACAAAAGAAAATGCTGCACGTAATTGTAAGTTATGAGCAACAGCCGCCGCAGTCAAAACAACAAACACAACGGCCAGAATAAAATGAAAATCGTTGAGGTTTTCCATCATCGCGTGCAGGTTGGCAGCGTTTTAAGAACAATTGCAGCGCATTTAAGCATAAATGCTAGCGAAAACTGCGCGCTCCCACACTCAGAAAAATATCTCCTGAGGTTTGTGGCTAAAACCATTAGAGAATCACAAAAACGGGCTGTAGGCTCCCAAGGAGCTACTCATTTTATTATCATTTTCGGACATTACATTCTGAATGCTAATTAGGTGAAATCGCGTTCTGAGCTGGTAATTTAAATTAATTTAAAATTAGTAAGCTGATTTTAGATTTTTAGTGCGCTGTGCGTATAAATGTATTAGTGCGTATTGGTATAGGTGGCTGTGAGAGTGTGTGCGGCACTTAACCATCAGCGTGAAATGAAGAAAATGAAATGGGCAAGTTGAGGCCAACTGTGCACTGGGCTCTTCTTTCCTCGCTCACAAGAGTGTACATATATAATTAAGCCATAAATTCTGTTTTTATGATATTCCACAAAGTTATGAATTTATGGCAGCCCACAAAGCACTGAAATGCAGACACACACACTCACAATAATTTGCGGCAAAAACGGAAGTGAATTTAAATGCGCGCGCATGCGAAATGGAAGCGAGTCCCCCGTTCGCTAAAACAGAAAGAAAATGGAAAACCGCCTTGAGTTTCCGAAGAGAAGACCAATCGTAGAGTTGGTCCGGCCATGTTGGGCCCGTAAATGTGTCGGGCACTCTGCCCAGTTGCCTCGTAAATTTAACGCTTTTAAGTTTTATTTCCTTCACTTTTTTCGCCCGGTCTCGCTCTCCATTTCGCTGATGGATGTTGGCCGAGGGGCGCAATAAAATTTAAATATTTATGGTACTCTATATTTTGTTGCCATGCAAATGCGGCCGAGGTCCTACATTTTCTATATGGAGCAAGCAGCTCGTAGGGTGTCCATTTTAGACGGCCTTTCGGCCACAAAAAGTACACCGAATTTGCGGCATTAATTGCATCAAATTGCGCCGTGTCGCTGGATAATACCCCTGCAGAGGAAGAGCCACTGCTCACTGGGTCAATTAGCATAATCGCTTTTGAAATTGCAACCCGAACTCAACGTGCTGTTGCACTGGGGGCGCAGCAAACTGACGCGTATCTTCAAGTGGCTAATCGCCCTCGATGCCATCGATCGTCGGGGTTGTCAAAATCGCCAGTACTCAGGTCGGGGGTAAAATGAATACTATAATTGCCGTAATTACGCGAAATGCTCATAACTGCCCGTGTCATGGCTGCTTCCTAATGCGAAAATAACGTTATTAATTTCGAGCCAAGTGGGAAGGGCACTTGGCCGTAAGGGCCACTTGCCACTTGCCACTTGATCTAGGCAGCGTTACCAAGTTGAAAAAGCCACCCCTGAGGCGAAATTAACTAGATATTACATTGCAATTATAAAAACATTCGACATACTCTGACTCAGGAGGGAAACCCGAAAGGTAGGTTATATTTCATAGGTATGATCATGTTTGAAAGTATTGCATCATAATGAAGTAGATACTTAAGAAAATGGGTGATTGGATAACTTTTACATAATAAACATTATGATTCAGATGTTATGTTATTTTGCAAGCGACTTTAAGAGAGTATCAGCTAGTCTTCTCGAGGTAAGGGCTTGTGCGCAGTATCCTGTATCCTTCGAAAGTATCCTTTTCAAGTGGACCCTGGACAGGAATATTCAAAATGACTTGTCACTAGCGCGGCATGCGCTAAATGGGCAGGTGCAATTGAGTCCGGCGACTGGGAGAGCGGCTCTTTCGACGACCGATGTTCTTGTTTTCATAAAATTGCAATATTAATGCGGAAAATCTTTGGGGCAGGGGCACGGAGTACGGAGCACGGAGCACAGGGACAGGGTGTGCAGCAGGCCATCATTTGGTGCAACCCAACATGTTTTTGTGCCTCAAAAGCCGCTGCACATGCTTGACATTGATGCAATTTCGATTGCCGGCAGCTGACTGTGAGTAATCCCCCTTCTGCCGTCATATCCGCACTTAGTCGCAGCAATTAAACGAGATTAAATCGCCGGTGCAAAGCTGCTCCAAGTGGAAATATGTGCCCCATGCGCATGCCCATGCCCATGCCCATGCCCAAGTCCATGTCCATATTCATGCCCAACGCGAGGCGCAATTATATTTGAAAATGCAATAAAATATGGCTGGAGGAGCTGCAACAAAGCGCAGCTCGATTTGCATAAATATTTTTTGTTGCACAGAACCAGCGAACAATTTCATTGTTGCCACTCACTCGAAATGCGGCCAGAAGATGGAGAACTGTGGGGCATAAATTATACTCATGGCGGGGCAACGAGTTAAGGAGAAAGAGTGCTTATCTCGGAAGGAAATTAGCTGATAATATGCAAAACACGCCGCCAAATTGCAGCCTGAGCCAAATTTCAAATTGTTACCCTGCGCAAATAAACACGAGCATGCCTATAAGCAGTGGAGCCCATTTAAAAGCCATTTCGTTTTGAAATGCCACCACTAATTCGTTCTATAAAGATGCATTGCTTGTCCAGTTGTATGCAATTAATTCTGTTTTAAGTTCTTCAAGTCACCAGTT